AAGAAACTGAATCTGGAGGAAGTAATCAAAAATGTAATTCACAGTTGCCTTTACAACTACCTTTAATTGAATTGTATGAATATATGATAGTTTGATTCATTGCATTGTTCTGGAAAATTACTTATTTACGCCTGTTACTCCTAATGGAGCATAGGCCGCCGACCAACATTCTCCAAACCACTCTGTCATGGGCCTTCTTTTCTAGTTCCATCCAATTCTCGTTCATTTTTCTCATGTCTATTTCCATTTCTCGGCATAATGTGTTCTTTGGTCTTCCTCTCTTCCTTTGGCCTTGAGGATTTCATGTGAGGGCTTGTCTTGTGACGCAGTTCGGTGCTTTCCTCAATGTGTGTCCTATCCACTTCAGCGCTTCTTCCTGATTTCTTCCTCCGCTGGGATCTGCTTTGTTCTCTCCCACAGTTGGTTGTTGCTAGTAGTGTCCGGCCAACGGATCCGAAGTATTTTGCATAGACAACTGTTAATAAACACCTGTATTTTATGGATGATGTCTTTCGTAGTTCTCCAGGTTTCTGCCCCATATAGTAGAACTGTCTTGACATTTGTACTGAAAATCCTGACCTTGATGTTGGTTGACAGTTGCTTTGAGTTCCAGATGTTGTTCAATTGCAGATATGCTGCTCTTGTTTTGCCGATCCGCGCCTTCACATCTGAATCAGATCCACCCTGTTCATCAATGATGCTGCCCAAATACGTAAAGGTTTTTACATCTTGTTCTGGAAAATGCTACAATTTAAATAAGAGTTACTACGACGATAAAGCATAATTTTGTGAAAAACCATGAAACAAGAAACAAGACTCTTCAATGAAAACTTTCAAATCTTTCAGGCATAATAATAAACTTATATGAAGTAGTTAGTTTACACAGAATTAAGTAATAGTTTTTATCGTAAATAGGATTTCATAAAACATAGTTTTGTTGTATACTAAATAACAGAAAGTATAAGAAACAACTGTCTAATACTCTCTCATTTCATTCGTAATGTATAAATTACCTACCTTTTTACATATCTGTACAGATAAAAACGCATATTACGAATATATCTAATGTCTAGCATCTATGGAATGTTAATTAGGTTCACCAATCAATTCAAATAATAACTCGGGGAAAATTCTGTACGTGGCCTGCTTGATTATCTGGGCTACCGGTTTCTGCCATCTAGAAATTTGAACTAGTCTCCCCTTTTGTTTGTTTTAACATATTATCATGTCGATTAATCGCATAACCCATTGAGCCTATCACTTCACAAGGCACAAGAAATTACAATCCGAGATATCATGGTGTCTGGCAATATGCATTGGAAAGAATGAACATTATTTAGATGTCGATTTTTGAAATACTGAATTCTAACTGCCGACCAATAATGGGCAACGTCTTCAGTTCTTACTAAGTCCAAACATGTAACGTATTTGTGGTTTAATCACAAATCAAGAATCCTGGTTAAAATGACTTACAAGACGACTGACTAATATCACTACAAGATTTCAATACTTATTGTCAGGGTGGATCAAGCAATAAGAAAAGGAAACTTGTTAAACTACTTTGTACCAAATAAAGCCATCAATAATATTAATAATAATTCAGCCATTTAAATGTAAATACATGTAAACATTTTTGCAACAGAAATACATTCAACAGCAATGTAATCATGACTTCTTACGTCATTGCACTGAAGCTGACTAGTTTTTCTGTTTATGTTTCAAGAAACAAAGTGATGACTGGCGAGACTTTACAGAAAAATTATTCTCAGGTGATATGGCTGTCATCTACTATGGTACCTTCAAAACATGCTCACATGTATACACAGCTAGAAGATATGATAATGTAATATATCAAAATGAACTCAGTTGCATCTATATATTTGACCGACCAACTGAAATATCGCACATGTTCCATATAATTTGAAGACTTTACTGGAACAGAAGCTAAAAACTAGTATTCTATTCCTTTGATGTGCTACATAAGTTTGTGCTTCGTTTTAGCTTGATCTTAATGAGGATTCAGCAAAAATACTCAAGTGTAACAACAGATCATGTCATGTCTTTACTCTAGGGAGTAAAATTTCATAATGTGAGTCACACTAATGTATATTATTGACTGAATCTATCACCAGAAAATATGAAACAGTAGATATCTGTTTCGTCCCAATATGGAACCTCTCAGCAGTGGGGGCGCGAGACATAATTAATTATCAGAATCAGAACTTACTGGTTTAGCAATGAGTGCTCAAGATAAAGAGGCGATCATCACCTATGAAAATACATACGATCAGTTAGAAGTTTTAATCATTTGATTACAAGCTTACCGCTAATCCTGATGGTCATGAACTTAACCCTGATGATATCTTGGTTACTTAATGCAAAGGAGTTATAAACTACAACGAAATACTGTCCAATATTAATTGATTTGTAACTGTTGTCATATCGAAGCTGATCTATGATGTGCATAAACAATATCTCCTTAATGTTCGTTATATTTCAAAACAACTTCACTAACATATTTACTTCTGTTCAATAAAAGTATGTTCTGTACATAATTGAGGTTTAAGACTGCAATCGATCAGTCTGTTATTGGCATATGTGTATACTGTGCGTATGTCTCGATATTGCCTTAATTCACAAGCTATTTGTAAGCAATGATGGATAGTGGTTAGCAGTGGAATCCAGTTTGACGCGCGTTTCTTCCTATTTGGGACTCGTCAGTTGGATGTACCTGCATCTCCGAGTTGATGTTTACTCTGGGACTCGAACCCAGTACCATTCGCTTGAAACGCCATCGCGTGATCCACTCAGCTGCTGTGTCCTGATAGCCACTTGCTTGTGCAATGGGGTGAAATTAAATTCACTTGGTATTGTTTTACTTGTATCTTCCCATTGTTATTTAGGGCTGCAGTTGGTCAGCCTGTTATTGACATTCAACTGACGAGTCCCAGATAGGACGAAATACGCGTCAAACTGGATTCCACTGCTAGCCACTATCCATCATTGCTTACAAAATTGAATCTAAAACATTTTAATGTTCAAATATGGTATTGATTATTTTGTTATAATCGTTGAATGTAGTTACTAAGTTATATTCATCAATATATATGTATTTATTTAAATTACTTTAATCAATATTGAATATTTACTTTTTAAAAAAATCTGTTCAAACATTCATTCATAGTTGCCTTAATAACCGTTGCATAATTAATTGATTATTCTTTTGTATTGTACTTTACCTACATATGATTACCATCTCTCTCTCTCTCTCTCTGGTTTACACACTCAGTCACTCACATGCATAGAAATATAATTTAGACAAAGTAACCATTCCATATTTTTTAATAGATGTAAAGTGTCATATGACTAATAGATATCACCTTGAAGGAAATGGATTAGACAATGTTGGCCAAATAAACTTTCTAAGTTAATTCCTTGTTATGTTATGTAAATTCCACAATTAATTTTATCAAGACGGTTTCAATAACTCAAATGATAATTGAGCTAGTTATTAATATTAAGTGATTTAGTATTCATATTGATCCCTGATATAGTCTGATGGGTATTGTATTATACAGTAGAAGTATGTTATGTAGAAGGCTTACCACAAGACGGATCAAAGACATCGTAAAATTCCATAAGGTGACTAGCTAACAAACTCATCTGTTTAGGGAGTTCCGTACTTTATTTAGATATTAGAAATAAAAGGAGCGACTTAACCTAAGATTGGTTATAATACCATAAATCCATTCAATTTTATTCAGACAGTTCTAATGTATGATAACTTGGAGGTGTAAAGTCTGATTATAAGGCCTGTATTTTCACCACTGTCCACCCGCCTCCTGATATTTATGTTATTTTTTATTCACTTGGTGCTTTTTACTTGTATATTCCCATTGTTACTTAGGTCTGCAGTTGATCAGTCTCTTGTTGGCATATGTGCATCCTGTGGGGACTGCCTCAGTATTGTCTTAAGTCACAAGCATTATAAGCAAAGATGGATGGTGGCTAGCAGTGGAGTTTAGGACGCGCGTTTCGTTCTACTTGGGACCCTTCAGTTAGACGTACCTGTATCTCAGAGTTGATGTTTACTCTTGGACTCGAACCTAGTACCATTCGCTTCAAACGCCATCGCGTTATCCACTTAGCTACTGAGTACTGATAGCCGCCTGTTTGTGCAATAGGGTGAAGTTTAAATTCACCTGGTGTTGTTTAACTTGTATTTTCCCATTGTTATTTAGGACTGCGATTGATCAGTCTCTTGTGGGTATATGTGCATCTTGTGCGTATGATTTGTTCATGGAATTTTGTTTTAGGTGCAAAGTATTTGTATTTGGCATATTACAGATATCATTATTTTGTTCAACATCAACAGACCTTCAATTAATCTCAACTTTTAATTGTTTATCCCTTTTATCGCACCAAAATTTGACAGGTTCAAAGTTAATATCGTCACTGATAGTAATTTGCAAGTATACCCTCCAAACCTGATAGTGTAACTGCTAATCATTCACTGAATATTATCAGTGCCGAGTTCAAGTGGAAGTGAGTATCAAAATAATATCAACAACTTTAGATCAGCCAGTCGTCACGCCATAGTAGGTGATGCTTTCATTTAATTATGCCCAAACAGATTGACATCAGTTGAGGAGCCGCTAAAGTATAAAGATCATCAAAATAGACTCACGTTTCAGCTGAGGACTCTAAAAATGAGCACTAATGTCCTACCTGGCAAAAGAACCTAGAATCATAAGGCTTCAAATGAACACATTACATTTCTAATTTACTGGTGTTTAAGTTGCATATTTACTGTGGGATATAAATAAGTTTATGGGAGGCTAAGAATGTGAATAGATTAGAATTGCCATAATGAGACATCTGGTTTTTAATTACCAATCAATTAATTTCCCTTTATTACAGAAACTGTCACCGATTCATTTACTCGATGATCATCAGTATTACACGCTAAACATGGCTTATTATCGTTTAATTTTAGAAACATGTTCAAAGAACAAAGTCAAGATCGGAATATTGATGATATTGATTGTAATAATTCAACTTCTTCGGATCGATTGATTAAAGCTAAAATCAATTCGATGGTATGCCTTTATTCCATGTTTTATATGTATAGTACTCATGATAACTAATAGTATAACTAGGATTATGAGCGATAGTAATCAGTGTTGAAATAAAAATGTTAGTAACCACAATGACCACTAATATTAAAACAACTACTACTGAATTGCTTACTTACTCCTGTTACCCCACAGAGAGGAGCATAGGCTGCCGATCAGGATTCTTCAATCAACTCTTTACTGAGGTCACCTTTCCAATTGTTTCTAGTTGCTATTCATCGTTTTCATGTCTGCTTCCAATTCCGAACGCAATGTGTTCCGTGGTCATTTTCTCTTCCGTCTGCCCTCAAGATTTCAAGTTAGCGCTTGCTTCGTGAGGCAGTCTGATAATTTCCTCAATGTGCATCCTATTCACATCCAATGAATTTTTTCGATTTCCTCTTCACCTAGAAATAAGTTTGTTCTCTCCCACATTAGGCTGTTGATGATGGTATCCAGCTAACAGACGTTCAGTATCTCATGTAGATAATTGTTTATGAATACCTGCATTATTCTGATGATGGTTGTAGTAGTTGTCGATGTTTCAGCTCTGTACAACAGAACTGTCTTGACGTTCGTCTTGAAGATTCTGACTTTGATATTGGTTGACAGGTATCTTGAGTTCCGTATGTTCGTCAACTGTAGTAATGCTGTTCTTGAATTGCCAATCCTTGCCTCCACTTCTGCATCAGATCCTCCACGTTCATCAATGATGCTGATGAGCCAGGTACGTGTGAGTTCCCACCTGTTCCAGAGTTTCTCCATCAAGTGTGATTGTGTTGGTATTCTCCGTGTTGTATTTGAGGATGTTTATATTTCCGTTGTGTATGTTGAGGCCTACTGATGCAGAGGTTGATGCCACAATGTTTTTCTTGACCTGCATTTGTTGGTGTGTATTGGATAGAATAAGCTAGGTGAAATGTTGTTGTTGGGATAAGCAGTCCAGGTTAGATGAATATTCAGACCTTTTTTCCTATTGAGGGCAGAGAGATTTAGCATTATGTGAAACGCTTCGGCTGCTCGCCCCTCTTTATAGTTTGAAAAGCCTTTCTGAATTATATATATATATATATATATATATATATATATATATATATATATATATATATATATATATATATATATATATATATATATATATATATATATATATATATATTATAACATCAATTTGGTGATTCTTGAAAATAGCATGTACTGTCAATTCTATATGACTATTAGGTTTTTTGTATAACTTAAGTGTTCCCTGGCACTAGTTAAGATCTAACAGGAAGACTCTCCAATACAGAACTCATCGCAGTTGACACAACCTAATCTGTAGACACAATTTTGAGTAGAAGTGAAGAGAATTTTATCTTTAATTCTAAAGCGTTTCTTATAGTGCTAGTTGTCTTTAATTTTATAAGTTTGCAATATCCGTTGTAATTCTTCTGTCCTACCTTGGCAGTAAGGTAAAACTGCGGTATCAATGCATGGAATTCCATAAGGATTGTTATTTACAGACGGATAGTTTTGTTTTAATATGTTTTAAATTATATTCTTAGAAAATTTATTTAAACGTAGGATGTTTATTGTATTCTCTTTTTCTGAGGTACTGATTTCGGTTGCTCTTCTCAAACAAAAAAAATTTAGGGCTAGAAAAAGTTTTTCAGGTTGCTTACTCTCACCCTTTCTCTTTCTCCTGGTGATCGACTGGATCATGAAGACATCAATATCTGAAGAGAAGCACAGGATGCAGTGGACATCTAGGATGCAGTTAGAAGATCTAGACTTCGCAGATGATCTGGCCATCCTATCCCAAACGCAATAACAAATGCAGGAGAAGACGACCAGTGTAGCAGCAGCTTCAGCAGCAGTAGGTCTCAATATACACAAAGGGAAAAGCAAGATTCTCCGACGCAACACAGCATGCAACAATCCAGTCATAATTGACGGAGAAGATTTGGAAGATGTTAAAAAGTTTACATATTTCGGCAGCATCATTGATGAACAGGGTGGATCTGATTCAGATGTGAGGGCGCGGATCGGCAAAACAAGAGCAGCATATCTACAATTGAACAACATCTGGAACTCAAAGCAACTCTCAACCAACACTAAGGTCAGGATTTTCAGTACAAATGTCAAGACAGTTCTACTATATGGGGCAGAAACCTGGAGAACTACGAAAGCCATCATCCAGAAAATACAGGTGTTTATTAACAGTTGTCTATGCAAAATACTTCAGATCCATTGGCCGGACACTACTAGCAACAACCAACTGTGGGAGAGAACAAAGCAGATCCCAGCGGAGGAAGAAATCAGGAAGAAGCGCTGGAAGTGGATAGGACACACATTGAGGAATGCACCGAACTGCGTCACAAGACAAGCCCTCACATGGAATCCTCAAGGCCAAAGGAAGAGAGGAAACCAAAGAACACATTATGCCGAGAAATGGAAATAGACATGAGAAAAATGAACGAGAATTGGATGTAACTAGAAAAGAAGGCCCATGACAGAGTGGTTTGGAGAATGTTGGTCGGCGGCCTATACTCCATTAGGAGTAACAGGCCTAAGTAAGTAAGTAAGAAAAAGTTCTTCACTAAAAGGACGTACAGAGTTAAAATCAGTATGTCGATTTGAATGTGTTGGTTTTCGGTATATGACTAGATCTAAACTTTCATTGAAATTCCTTTTAACTAAACAGACTAAGGATGGTAGTTCATTACGTTCATCTTCCTTTTCGAAAGCGAATTTAATGTGTTCTGAGAGAGTGTTTATGTGTTTGGAGAAATTTCTAAGAAGTCTTTTTAAGTAATGAGAAATGTATCATCTATACATATGAGCCAGATGCGTAGTTTGATGGTGATGGGAAAAATAAACGACTCAATGTGAAATATAAACAAATTTGCAACAATCGGAGATACTGGTGATTCCATGGCTACTTCATTCGTTTGCTTATATAAAGTCCCCTTGAATGTGAAAAGTGTTGAATTTAAGCATAATTTGAGGGATTTCATGATAAAACTAATGTTTAATGGGCATCTGTTAGATAGAATATGATCGTTTTGTAGTAAACCACTGACGAAGTCTAAACATCTACCAATTCGAATACCAGTGTAGAAAGATGCAATATCAAAGCTTACCATTGTTTCGTATTTGTTGATGGATAATTCCAAGATCCTTGATTTCAATTCGTATGAATCCTTTACAACATTGACTAGTTTGTATTAAAGTGGCTTCTGAATGCTGTTTAGATATTTAAATAAAGCATATGTATGAGTATTCGTGAAGTCCACTATGGATCTTAAAGGAACATAAGGCTTGTGAATTTTTGGTAGCCCATAGAAGCGCGATATGGTGTTAGATCTAGGGTTTAAAGTAAACCATAGGGAAACGCCAATAAATGGCTTTAGTTCTTTTAGAAGTTCACTTGTCTCTGATTTGACTTTATTTTTAATCATTTGAACATTTTTTGAGTCTATCTTTAAATATAGTCCTGTCGATAGATGGTTATGAGCTTTTTCTTCGTAGTCGCTTTTGTTCACGACCCCTATCGTATTGCCTTTGTCAGGTTTGGTAATGACAATCATTCTATCATTCTGCAGTGAGTGCAAAGCTTTCCATTCTTCTTTGGAAACATTAAGTGGAAGGAATATTTGTTTGGTCAATAGATCAGAAATTTTTCAACGTAAGATACGCAATTGCTTGTCCGGAAGCTTTTCAAGTACGACTTCTAGAATTGTGACGATTTCTAGAGTACTGAGAGGTTTTCTATGTAAATTTAAGTTATGCGCTGTTTCTAGTAGAGTGATTTTATGGATACTAAGAGTTCTCTCTGAGAGATGATGAACTACTTTTAAATCATTAAAAGTAGTTTCTGTGAGTGATATTTTCTTTTCTTGTAATTCTTTTAATCCTTTCAAATTTCTTGATTTGCCTGAATTTTGATGCATTTAGATAATGAGTCTGTCTTTTGTTGAATACGGCGAAAATGGAAGTATATAATTGAATGGGAATTAAAACTCCGATCAGCTCATTTAAATTTTTAATGCATTCCCGGTATTTTTCTGATGTGAAAGTACATTTGTGAATACGTTCTTGCAAAAAGATTCATGATGCAAGTTGAGCAATATAAATAGATCGTCATGAACGTCCTAGTGGTTTAATAATCAGAGATTTAGGAATAATGTTATTGATTGAGATCATGAACCGATTGATGTTAGACCACCACCTTTGGAGACCTGGAAGCACTGGACGGCCGTTTCGTTCTATTGTGGGACTCCTCAGCAGTGCGCATCCATGATCCCGCTCGCCGGATTCAAACCAAGGGCCTTCGGTCTCGCGCGCGAACGCTTAACCAACTGGACCACTGAGCCGGCATCCAGTGCTTCCAGGTTTCCAGAGATGGTGGTCTAACAGCAATCGGTTCATGATCTCAATCAAAAACTTAATAATCTCCACAACCCCTATACTAATGATGTTATTGTTTAGACCGATTTCATGTGAGTAGTACCCCTCGTTCTATTGATAGACCAAACTATTAAATATATCTTATACCAAAAATGAGTTTGTGGGTGGTTCTAATAATAAAATAAATATATATGACTAGTCTAGATGAGAATAAGATGCCGCATGTTATAAAGTACTATAACCATAATAGATGATTTAGTAAACTAGTGAAATTCTCCTGGACTGTTTTCGGAAACCGTCGCTATTGCGAGAGTTCATTGTTTGGGTTTCTAGTATGTGTTCACAGGGATTTTTTCTATGGTTCTATCAAATTTTCTCATTGCTTCTCCTATTAGCTCAAAAATCTATAAAAACGAATAATTCCACAGGCGAAGCCTACTAAAACCACTCACCTCAGTCGAAGATTCATCGTTCCTTTATGATTTACTTTTGGTGATATGTTCTCGATTTATATTACTCGGCGGGTTGTTTAAGGATAACTAGTTTATATACTCAGCATAAAAAATGAATATAATGCTCATAAATTAAAGATAAAAGATCTAGAGAAAGGAGGATAGTATATTACTGAAGACTATTACTATGTTAGTAATGTTAGGCTGAAGCCAAACTGTTAATTCCCTAATAGAGTAACTGCCCCATTTAACCTTTTTTAGTCACTCGCTCAGAATCCTCGTTGTTACTTGTCGATTCTGTGATTATTTTGTCAGCTAAACGGTCTAACAACTCGTATGGTGATTCATGATCTAGATAAGCCAGTTTTAGCCTATCATACAAATTCATCTTGAGCAAAAATTACTTGACATTGACAATATTCAGACCTATTGTGGCTTTGATTGTATTAAAAATATTTCGCATTATTTCCTTTGTACTATTCAAACTTGTATTAATTTAAAGTTTGGTTATTTATTTACTCTGAAGAAGTGGCTTACATAAAGTCACGAAACATCGTTAGAAATACAATTTTTCTATTTTTTGGGATATAACAAAGAATATATTTATTATTAAGTCTTTATCCAATGTTTAATTTATTTTGAAACTATCAATTCCAACCTTGGTATAGTATACTTATTTATTACTTTCTGTTTTGTTCATTTTTTCATTCATAGTATAAATAGGAGTGATTACATCTTCAACTGGTACATATTTGTCCCAAGCTCTAGTTTTATTTTGTATTAAACCAGTATTTTACAATATTCATGAATGCGTATGTTATAAATTTTTGTCTTTTCCTAATTCATTACTTTGCGTTCAGTCAGTCAGCTACAACTTAGGACCAGGCACATATATGCATCGGTCCAAGTTGCCATACCGCATTAGCACAACAAGATGAACACCGAATTGATAGAAATAGTTCAATCAATGGTGGTAATATACATATATATAAAAGAAAGATTGCATATAATGATATACTGCCAAAAGATATAAAGCAATTTTAATCTCATAGTTTAAGGGAAGACAAAGAGTGTATACACCTACGCCATTGTGATTTATTTTAAGCCATGTCATTCAGAGTCTCTAACCATTGATATTAGGATCGTCACCTGGACCCCAACCAATTAGTGTACATCTATCAACATTCATTGTCATTTCACGATTGTTATTTTTCTTTCTTTTTTCTATTTGTACATTTTTGTATTAGATATCGAAATCAAAAAAATTAATGTTACCAATAAAAATTGACAATGTATTTCGATAAAGTGGTCGGGACATTAAGTAATATATGTAAGTTAATGAAATATCAATTCCTGCATCCATATATATGTGAATCTCTTTACATCTAGTAAAATTATATTGATATATTTATGTTATCTATTATTAAAATAGAATTCCCTTAATAATTGAATTCATGAGTCAATCAAAGTTAGACCATCATGGAAAACCTGAAAGCACTGGATCACCGTTATCTCCTAGTATAAGACTCCTCAATAATGAGTATCCACGATCCCGCCCCGCGAGACTGATAGGTCTTGAGGGGTGGGATTGTGAGTGAGCAATGCTGAGGAGTTCCATACTAGGATGAAACGGCCATCCAGTACTTGCAGGTTTTCCATGGTGGTCTAACTTCAATTGACTCATGAATTCAATTATTAAATTATTGCAATCGACAGAAAAGCCGTCTCAGTTTTCCTTTAATTTATGATAATAAGTTGGTTAAAATAAATCATCTTTATGGTTCAACTACTATAGAAACTTCAAACGTTTAACTCATATGATATATTTGCCATAAACAGTTTTTGGAAGATGTTGACTTTTAAGTAGGTTTCTAGACTCTCATAACCTTCAACAATTGAACTCTGAATGAAATAAGGAGTTTCAGCTAAAAAAGCGATCTTCAAAATCTTGGGGTTTCTAAAAAAATTTGAAATTTTTTATAACTATTTCATAACACAACCTAAATAGATTGAGAAGATAAGACTGAGCAATGAGTTGTGTCTACGGAGAGTGAAAAAAGTACCAGAAACTCGTACGGATTTCGTAAGTCGTCAGATGTACCCTAACAGAGGTATATATAAAACGTAACGAGGGCTAGTTGAATAATTAACTTACCGTAACTCTCTCATACCATGATCTTGTCCATTTTATTCGGTTTTTCTCATTATATCCCACATTAAATTTTTATTGACTAATCAATTATTTATATTGTACACAAGAATCTAAAATAATCGCTAGCAAAGTATTAAGAAATTACTATCTGTATTTGGCATCGAGTTAAATTAACATGATCTAGTTCTTAGGTTTGACCAAATTCTATCGATCTTTTCGATTATGTAACCTCTAACCTAAAGTAATTCAGTGTTCTAGTCAGCAGAAAGCAGTAGAGAGAAATGTTTTAGAGATGAATTTCGTTTATTTTCCTGTAAATGAAACTACGGAAACTAATGTATTCTAAGATTCTGGTTATTTCATCCATTGACAAAAGCATTAGTGACTAGATTAATTTTTATGCAAAGAATTTTACTTAAAGGTGCGAATCTTACTACATTGTAAAATTCAGTTTATATCTAGAAATATTCAACTTTGCACCAATAAATGATGCAAGTAATCTAAAGGATCACTAGTTATTAGGATTCCTCGATGGTAATATTTCTGATTGTTGCTTTAACTTATTGTGATTTTAATCTCGTATCCAGCATTTGTTTCCTAAAGGTTTAAGATAGACTACGGTAATGGCTATCAGTTGGACAGAAATTGTACATCAAGGTTTTCTGCGATCATTTTGAGCTGCTTAATGTTATGTACCCGTCACTTATCACTGATACTTGAAACGACAAGTCATTACAATTGACACGATGTGAATGAAGAACATGGAAGACTGGCACAAGTGAAGATTTATAGACCTCAAAAACACGACGAATCTAGTGAAAAAATACACTCACTTATCTATTGATTTGCACATACATTTGATTATTAATCTGTAATACGACATCTTTATGAAGTTGTAGAAATCGCACGTCTCATGTCATTACTAAACATAGTTCATGTTGATTTAATACAAGACTATCATATCTTGAATAAATATCTAACTGAAGTAAATCAGTGTTATACTGAATCAAATAGCACATTGAAAATGAAACAAACGATCTAAAGAGATCATTCTCTTTCTGATACCATCAAGTATCTAGTCCAGTGAAACGAAAGTATTAGTGTATCATTAAAATGAACAATATCTCAATACAACGTTTGCTGAATGCGACATTTCTACCAACCAAATCTCATGAACCTTTCTTTAGACCTCTGAAAAGTATCTGGAAGAGAATGATCACTAACAGAATTGATCACAAAATAGGCGTACCAAACAAGCTACTTCAGACAGTGATTTACTCATTTTTAAACATAAAAATTTAATCCATAGATTAGCTAACAAATTACCTTGTTGACTGGTTTTCTTATCTCTCAAAACTTTTATAGCTGATATTAAGAAAAAGTCTGATGAAATAAATGTATCACAGAATGAAGAAAGAACTGAGTGTCAAAACACTGAAAGGCAACTTGACGATGAAACTATCACGACTAAATTTAGTATTAGTGGTGTCACTACTAACAATAATATTAGTAGTATTGATGGTTGTACTGAAATTAAAAGTTATGGTGATAATGATAATGAGTTTCACAATCCGATCAAGAATGAAGCAACAAGTAATCATTGCCAACACCAACATCAAAATAATCACCATAAAAATGAAATTAATGCAACAAATGAGGAAATTCCAGTTTCACCGAGTAGTCTCACAGGTCAATCCAGTAGTTTTTCTCATTTGAATACATCATCTCCAATATCATATGGTGATGAAATGAATTCCATTCCTGTAACCAGTTCAATAGATGATTTACTTAGTTTAGATCAATATGATCAAGATGACAGTATATTGAAGGATTTTTCATCACAAAATCAGTATTCCGTTGATAGAACAACTAATTCAAGTTTGGAAAGATGGTTATCACAATCTGAATTACTGAGGTGCAATACAAGAGTAAAAGTAAGTTTATTTAATATTGACTAGTTAAAACAGATCACATTATGAAATGAATTAAGTTCAACGACCTTTAAGAACCTGAAAGCAATAAGCAAATGTTTTATGTCAGAACGGAACTTCTCAATAGTAAACATTCATTCCCATCAATCCTTTGTAGTAATAATTAAAACAGTAGGTCCTGTGTTCGAATCTCGCGAGGTGCGGGATCGTGAATGCGCATTACTGGGGAGTCCCATGCCAGGACGAAACGACCATCCAGTGCTTCCAGGTTTTCCATGGTGGTCTAGCTTCAATTGACTCATGATTTCAACCAGTGAAATTTCTAAAAATCTCCACAAAACCCATTCTGAAAATATACCTATTCTCATAACGAATTTCTGTTTGAGGTATTAAGTTAAAACAAGGAAAGTGATTTTGTTTGCCCTCAAATATTATTGCAGTACTTTCATTTATACCAAGATTAGTGTTATTGTGTTCGTTGAGATATGTGGTTTATTTGAGAAACTGTCGTTCTGGACAACATCATATAGGTCGTCCATACTTCTACAAGACGTAAGTTCTGACAGCTTTATCCAGAAAGACAATGAAAGCTTCTAAATGAAATCACCTGGCTCAAAGAATACAAACAAATAAGAACCATCCATCGGAGTTTCAAATGTTTATCGTCATTTCAGAATCATGTTTGAATCCTCAACTTGTCACATGAATGTTCATCATGGTGGTTTTAAAAAATAAAACTGCTGTTACATCAGTAAATTCTGATTAGAAATAGATAATTACAGTATTACACTGGCCATTTATTTAAATTTTTCAGGTTATTCCTTATGTGATTTCGTTTAACACATTTGATTATTTTCAGCAGCATTTTCCAAGAGATGGTTATTTCTGGTCAGTCGCATTATTTATCAAACTTGGTACGAAATTAGTCCCCACTAGCCCAAAAGGTAAAATCTAGTTGAATTATATATATATATATATATATATATATATATATATATATATATATAATATTGATTAAAGAACGTACATGATCCAAAAACATCAGCCTCATAATAGCTTTATTCAAATTGGGATTGAGAATTTCAGATTCGTTAATAGCATGTGTTTTTTGTACGCAATCATCGACCAACAAATACCCATGTCTAGATACATCTGAATGGTACATAAATAATATAGATCCGTATGCTTAGGCGTAATAGATCACTTTTTATCTTGATCCCTTTCTCATTATAAAGTAAGCACAACTAACATCCACTCATGACACTGGTTATACTCAAATTACTTTATATCACTGACGAAATTATCATTGAATTAATAATACCATCTAACGGCATCTAGATCTTTTCCCGTTGAATGATGGAACATTCCACTTTTCCAGTTGATAACTTAGTCTGCACACCGTTAAACAGCAGAGTTAACTAACTGCATCATTTACTTGTAAAGTACTCTTAAATTTCAAAATTTCATTCTGGTCAGAACCTAACATCGTAGTTGGGAACATAAGAACCGTTTCACTCTTGGGAAGAGCAAAATGCACATTATGAACAGTTCTCTTTGTTTGTTCCAGCTCGACATTTAATCTTCGAATTCATGTTGCTTGAATAAATGTATGTTATTCAATAGCAATACTACTTACTAAGGTCTAAGTAATGTAACTTAACTAATCAATTGTGGAAAAGCACTTGGGCATGAGACTAACCCCTAATTTATTTATTCTCTATAACTTACGATGCTAACTTAGTTTAAAATGATTTGGTATTGTGCGGTTTTGAAATTGCATAAGACAAATTTGCTGCTGTATGTTGAAACAGCTAATTAAACAACTTGGACTAAATGATTCTAGAGGATAGGGAGTGAATCAAGTTTCGCTTTATACTTGAATGAACCCAGGTATGAGAATTCCTAAACTGACCATCCCAGGTCGACGTTTTTATGAATACATCTCTGTAAGGATCCATCTTACATATTTACTAGTCAGCTGTCCTTAAGGAATAGGCGAATATGATATAGTGAAACAATAGGTGATGAACTAATTCATATTCAACAGATAAGCATCAGAAATGGTTGTCCAGGAAGATTTCACGATACAAATTTAATACAATGACAACATCGTGAAAAAGCACACACAATTTAAAGGAAAACCTGTTACGAATATGGAATTTAAAGGAGACATGGATGCCAAACTCTTGGCCTACCATTCACAAATGTGCCAAACATGAACTTTTGTTTTGTGACACAAATCTATGGCCATCAATAAATTTACTTGCTCCTGTGGGGCAGGTCACAGTGGCCGCACAAAATCACTCGACGTTACCTAATAAAGGGGAAGGAAAAACAATCACCAGTTCAATAGAGAAGCATCTAATAATCTCTGAACACGTCGCTCCAAATGAATCTTCCTTCAAAATAATCTACACAATTAAAAAAACTACATCGAAGGAAGACCGAATCTAGAACTTATGCACTGTTGAGGCATTGGCGATTCACCAATTCAAGCACAAACTCACTGTGCACAAACGATACATCCAACCTGTCATTGTTCCTTCGCCCTCACTCCCTTCTCCACTATGTTTTGCTCTTGTTTTCCTTTCTACCTTACTGTTCTGTAATTCTAAACCATAATCAGTTATTACTATCCTGTAAAAGTCCTTCATGGTTATTATTCACTTATCATTATGATCTTAATTCTACTCAGTTTTCTTCATATCTGTCCAGTGGACAATTATCTTTTATAACTCTCACCTGTAAATTATTTTCATCCTCCTACACTACTCTCACGTCCTGATTATTACTCAACCTCCTTTGATATTTCGAGTCTCGAATCACTTTGTCATGCGATCTTTCCTACCTTTCTATGAGCATATATTTACCAAACAACTACAAATACGAATGTACAGCTTAAGTAAATGATTTCATTGTAAAGGAAAATTTCTTCAGTGAATCCTAATTATTTTTATTATATGACACATTGGGTTTTGTTTTAATTATTACGAACTACTATCAGTCTGATTGAGCTAAGACTTCAATGAGATGTAATTAAGATATGAAATTTCAAACAAGCGGAATGGATTTCTACCATCATAACTGATTAGAACATGGCGTAAAGAATTTAATTTTACAATAGTCGTACTAATTATTCACCATAATATTGTTATTGAATTGCTGAAAACTTACTAAACAATCAGTAGATCATTCGAAGGTAGTAAACAATTATATACGTACTCCTTGTGGAAATGCATATGCCACCCACCAGCACTCGCTATCCAACACTCTCCTGGGCAATATTTTCCAGCTCTTTCCAGCTCCTATTCATCCTTTTCATATCTGCTTCTATTTCACGATATAGTGTGTTCTTTGGCCTTCCTCTTCTCTTTTTCCATTCAATATTCCAAGTTAGGGCTTGTCTCGCGGTGCAGCTTGATGATTTCCGTAATGTATGTCCTATCATTTTCCATCGTCTTTTCTTAATTTCCTCTTCAGCTGGAAGCTAGCTTGTTGCTGATGCTGATATTGAGTATTTAACGTAGACAATAGTTTATGAATACTTTTACCTTCTTGATGATGATTGTAGTAGTTCTTCATGTTTCAGCTCTGCCTTTAGATCTTCTAGAGATAATTCCGGTCTCAAGCTAGGGTAAACGAGGTCGGCAACCTCATCCCGTAGAAAAAATCTTACTAAAAAAAAACGCCAACCAGATTAAATAAACAATCATATACTAGGACAAAATCATTATCTGATCATCTCTTTTTATCACTATATCTCAGTGAATTACAATAGTCGACTTTTGACATGAATGATTTCTGTTCCAATGAGATATCAAATTTTTAACAGTTTCACAAATATTTTACTTGATTATATGTTACCCTAAATTCACGTAAGTTATATTATTATATTTCTGTGAAACTGTATGTAATAGAGAAAATTATAGGTTATAATGGCCACAGTAGATGTATTTTTTAATAACCGTAGTCAATCTATGAAAGGAACTGCAAATCAACGAATTATGTTAAGATGAGATTATCATCTAAAGGAGGGAACTGGTGAACTCAAGAACACTGACTAACTCGTGAAAACCGTCTTCTAGAATGACTTAACAGAAATTAATCATTTCAATACTATTTCCAAAAATCAAATGAAGATAATCAATCAAAACAAAGATGTCTGATCATATCATCGTTCAGAATACGAAGTTAAATCACCAAAGATGATCAGAATACAACAATTTTTTTTCCATTTAAACTATTCAAATACAACGCAGTATAGAAAGTGTGTTCAACTTAAATCCTACTGATGAATTTAAACAAATAGAAAGCTTATATAATTTAAGTACTTTAGTTAACTATTTCAGGCTAATTAAAGTACCATATTCGTACGTTGAATAGACCAAGAAACAACTGATTGGAGTTATTAGTCGCGATTCAGGAGGCTAGATTTCATCACATTGATTAGCTTCCAATGTTCAGCATCTAAATGTATCTTGAATAATGTCTAACTAAACAGATGTTTTCACACCGACAAATTGTGGTAATTAATCGTTAATATCGTTAAAATAAGAAAGATTAATTTCTTAAGAGATTACTCTTTTCTCAATCAGTATATTCCGTCTATTTTTAAAACAGCACAAAGAAAACGACACAGAATTACTTCTATCGAATGTAAATATATTTACAATCAGATGGTGGTTGGAGGTAGTCGACAGGAAACCCTTGACACGGGTTTCGTGCTATTTGGCACTCTTCAGCAAGGTGTACCTGTAATCTTGAGGAAACTGGTGCTCCCTGGCGGACTCGATCTCGTGTCACCCAGCTTCACAGTCAAAGACGTTATCACGACTGAGCTCCTGTAGGACTGAGATGTAATCACAATTGATTGAGCACTGGGTGGCGATCTGCATTAATAAGGACTAAACACGCATGACATTGGTCGCCACCCCGTGATCAATCAATTGTGATCTTTACAATCACCTTAGAAATAGTAGTATAAACAGTTCGATATTAAGATAGTACCATTAATGGAGATTAAAATAGTAAACATAAAACGGGGAGAAGTAGTCAACAAAATAAGATTTATTCCCATAAAAATCAAAAGGTGTTAATCATTTCTAATCATTAAAACTGAAGTGCTTCAAAGTTATCACTTCAAGTGTCTGGCTCATTGAAGAAATGAACTCGGAACAATCAAAAGAAGAAAAAAAATGGTATCAATTCGTCAAATTATCTATCGTCAGTCTCTACTGTATGTCGACATGTAGGCTACTAGGTCGTAGCATAGAAAAAAACAGTTGGAATAAACGGTTTTAAAATGTTTGATGACAAAACTCAAAATCGCTTATCGTAACACAAATAAACTCATTTTTCTCATCTCATTAATATTGAATTTTAACAATAGTTATGACCTTAACGTCTGGCTTTTCTATCACGCGACTTATCCACCAATCCAAATGCGACTTATATAAATCTTCACTCTTTGCCAACCAATGACGTTCAACCGGTATGAGCAGTTAGCGTCCTTATTGGTCCTATGTCCTCCTAGCCCTTCCACTTGAGTCCAGAACACAATACCAGTTTCTGCAATATGAATTGGATCGAATCGAATGAATCGTTTATTTTAGACATACTCGGTTTACATATCAATCAGACAGACCACAACATACCATTAAATAGAAAATAACATGTGTACACAAATAAGCCAAAAAGTGGCTGTGAACGAGGGGGACAGTAATTAATAAACTGAACATAACTTAAGAAGCGTAAATCGTACAATAATAAATTATAGGTCAAAATAAAGCTTATAATAAGAGGAATATAGATACATATAATGTAATTATTGAATAATTATACAATAAGAATACTTATAGAATATTAGTCCATTAATAGTCCTTGGAAGTGACCTGTAATTTAATCTTCACTCGGATATAACAAATACTTTGCCATTTTGTATACTAATATAAAATAAGAATGCCAGAATTATGCAAATTTGTACTAAGTGAAAAACTAAAGTTTTGATAAGCAAAGATTTATTGGTAAAGTTGAACTATAGGGGTGAGTAAATGACGAACATGCAAGTAGCTTTAAGGTCACAAAGCATATACCAAACAACATATCGTCTACTGATGATGAAATAAAGAATGGAATTAAGGTTAGATTTTTGATCATGAAATTACATCAGCTATAATAAACTAATGCTTGTGATCATATCGATGATTGCTATTCTTGAAAAATCCAAGATGCTTTACCTTAATTCGTTTATTCATAATTTTGTCTTCTGATTGGCTGAATAGATCAGGAATTCGTCAACCTCATTTAAAATGTTCTTCAAGCTCACTTATAGTTCAGCTTGATCAATTTTTTAAGTACACGAAATTCAAACATGGAAAATATTCGGTGGTCTAGCTTCAACTGACTCATGATCTTAACCATTGAAATTACTACAATCTCCACAAAAAACCCATCTGATATAAATATGTTTGTTTGATGCACTACTTTTAAAGCTTGATGTATCAGTGATAGTCTTGACTGGTTTGTAAGCATAGATAGATATCGTACTTTGTTACATGTATGAGGCCCTGCCTATTATTATAGACTCCTTCCCACTATTAATTTCACAGTACTGAACAATGGATTTCACACTGTGGCGGTAAATCGTTGTTTAGTTCCGACTACCTGGTTCTTAATCATATGTCGAAATTAAGCGGCGCGTACCACTTGGTCAAGTATCGTGATCTAGTGTGTCCAGTCGATTATCTTTTAAGGCATTGTTTCGTACACTTAGTATCGACAAATCATTTATTTAATTCTTTAGAACACAATTACTAGTCAATATAGATCATGCGACAAAGTGACCGAAAGTAAACTATCCAATATCTCTTGTATGAACAACCATTATGTTCTAAAATAAGTCAACTGCATACGATCCTGTACATTAATTTTCTCAGGTAAAACTAATCCATATGTAAAAATCAAACACAATGGAAGTGTTTTAGCTAGAAGTCGAATGATTCCAAATAGTTGTAATCCTATATGGGATGAAAAATTTTGGTTTCGTTTATGGAGCTTAGATACGCCAATAGAGGTAAGTCATTATTAGATCACCCAGATTTTCTTTATTTCTGTTTAGTAATTATTAAAGTTAATTTTATAAACACAGAACAAAGAAGTATTTTTTCCTCTCTCTTAGTTTTTAGTCAAAGGATTCAAGGATGATGTCACCTTACTGTTGTACTGTTCAGTTTCAGAGATTTTTAACGTTTTATTAAGACAATGCTTCATTATGAATCAAAACCATTGGTATTTTAAGTATAATTTCACAAGTGAAATACATTAACCTGTCTATTGATCTAATGGCTTCGAAAAGTACGATGAAGCCCAGAAGCTCTAAAGAACCTGAAGAGATCCCATATAATCAGCTTAATAGAGCCTTCTAGAATATCAACGTGGCATGCAACAGTTATACAATAGCATAATTTGCTTCCCTGCAGATTAGCTGAATTAAAATGATATAACCAGCAATAATAACTAAAAATACCCAAGTTTTCCTGAACATTTTCGATAATTCCCAGTAATCCGTTCTTCTGCTTCTTCTGTCTTCTCATTAGCGACTGTTGGGTTCCACATGTTAGAGGGCCGTTAGTTGTATGTCATAATCTACCGTAACCGAGTAGAAAACGTATCATCTTCCTTAAAAATGCAAATCATTAACTCTTGTATGGTACGCTCTGTACAGTAAGCCCTTTAAACATTGGCATCTTAGATACTAATAAGTCCGCAGATATTTTCGACTTTCAGACTGAAGGGAGGAAAGAAGTAAGGAAACGTAAAACAACATATACTTCAAAGTTTACATTAAGCAAAAGGACAAGGGTATTTACGAGATCATAGGTCAATTGAAGACTCTAGAAGCTAAAATTGGTAGTACATTTGATAATTGTCCAATCAGTGTACTATTTTTCTTGAGAGTTTCCAAAGAATGCTGATTTGTCAATATATGTTTAGTTTTTGGATAATTTTTTACAGAAAACCATCGTTGACTCTTTACATTGTGCGTCTCATTTCATCTAAATATGGTGTAGCTATTTTCAAGATAATCAGCAGTAAGTGTTTAAAACAAACCTAAATTCTTTGTAGAGCCTCAGGTATCTTCTTATATGTGCAAAGTATTTTCTTCTTCACGATCAGGATACAACAACACTTCTTTTAAAATTAGTCTTTTCTGTCCAGTTTGTGTCTAATGGGATTCAATTATTTCAGAGACAGGTTGTACACCTCATTTCCGTCATTATCTGAAAGGACATTCTAGTTTTCCATATTGTGAAGGAATTTCAAGCACCTATATAAGTTGCTGTTCTGGCTGTCAGAAGCAAGATTGACCTGATGATGTACTAAGAAACTCGGTTTTCATCACATGGTGTCAGAACTCTTGTGTACGAAAACTCTTCAAATCCCATGAAAGAGTTTAAATGGTTCAAATGTTTATTCCTGGTTAGTGTTTCTAACAAGGTTCTCTCTCACAGATTTAGTTTCTTAACTCAATGCCAAACCGTCCTTATTTACCCGGACTTGGACCATAATAGAATGTATCTTTTGACGTTTGTTTAATTATGTCATAATGAGTGTAGATCTATGAAAATAAATGGTTTCTAAGTAAATGAAAACGTAAATTAGTCCTAAATTCACTCGGTATTATTTGCTTGTATTTTTCCATTGTTGTTAAGGACTGCGATTGATCAATCTCTTGTTGGGTTATGTGCATCCTGTGAGGACTTCCTCAATACTGCCTTATGTCACAAGCATTATAAGCAAAGATTGATAGTGATTAGCAGTGGAATATAGTTTGACGCGCGTTTCATCCTACTTGGGACTCATCAGCTGGATGTACCTGCATCTCGGACTTGTTGATGTTTACTCTAGGACTCAAACCCGGTACCTTCGTTTCAAACGCTATCGCGTTATTCGCTTAGCTACTGAGTTATGATAGTCACCTGCTCGTGTAATGAGGTGAACACCAACTCTGGCATACAGACACATCCAGCTGACGAGACGTATATAGGACGAAACGCGCCTCCTGGACTACACTGCTAGTCACCATCCATCATCGCCCACATTATTCGTATTTGCAAAAGTTAGGTATTAAATGCTGTTTTATGATAATTATTTATCGATTGTCTTATAGTATTCTGATTGCACAGCTGTTTAAACTAATTACTTAAGTGTTGTTCAATCAGTCATTTGTGAACAATATAGATCTTGGATCAATTATTCATCATTCCCATTTGTTACGGTTTGTGTTAGCGCACAAAGAGTAAATTGTCTGAATACAAGCTGTGTAAATGATAATAGAAAACTAAGCGTAAAGAATATGATCTAAAAAGGAAGAATGAACAGAAATTTAAGAATTAGAAGTACAAAGAGATACCAGGACTTAATATGTGAAGGGATGTACTTGGTCAACACACCTAGACTCCTAATCCTCTTTTGTTTATCTGAACTCGGAAATGGCAGTAATTTCAGAAGGGCTCCAGATGAAGTGACTACTAATGTTAGTCAACCATTAAAATGTATATAAACGAGGAAAATTACTTATCTCGTGTTTATTTTTTAAGTCTTCTCCCATTTATTCCGTGTAAAATCTTCTGAAGAATGTTGACTGCAATCTTTCTTAGTCTCATACATTACGATAAGCACATTACCTTTAGACTACTCAGTTGATATGTAATGACCGGTATTTCCCACTTTATTTAATTCGTAATATTGCTTCATCGTCATTATCTAGCAATACAATGTTTAATTAGATTGAATTCCATTGGTCACAGTCGCTCTCTCTAAAACAAACCGATAATTCTTCTCTATGGGTTTCTTTATGCAAACGACTTTATGTGTTATTTTACTTTCGTAGTTGAAGGTCTATCATCGTGATCCATTTAAAAAGGATTCTTACATTGGTCGGACGCAATTCGGGCTAGTGGATTTAGATTTAGACAAGTAGGTATATATTGATATTTTTTAAAAATCATTTTAACATGTACCATAGACAACAACACAGTTGTGAAAACAGGAAATAACAATCAATGAAAAATAGACTAGGTGTTATATGTCAAAAATAACCAAACGTTTCAGACAGCACACACGGCAAAAACTACAGGTTTAGTAAAAGAAAGTATAAAAGGAATCAGGACATCGGAGTATGAATATAATCGGATAAAATAAGAGGTTTATTGTCAGTAAGGGGTTGAGAAAATTGTTGAATTTCACTGAAATCATGAGTCCATTTAAGTCAAACCATCAGTGAAAACTCGAAAGCACTGGAGAGCCGTTTCGTAATATTATGGGACTTCTGAACAGTGTACATCCATGACCTCGTGTGTGGGGTAATTATCATTTAGTCACCAGTGACTAGCTTCGATTGGAAATTTCCAGAGTTCTAGTGAGAATCCATGGCTAGTAGATCTGATGTGTGTCTTCTGTGAGGCAGTTACTCAACAAAAACAATCTAATATGGTCGCTAAATTTCATAACTTGATCGAAATTAGATATTAAAATACCGTCGAATGCCGGCTCGTTGATCTAGGGATTAATTGTTTACGCGTGAAACCAGAAGTCTTATGTTTCACCCCTGCGTGTAGGTTTGTAGATTGTCAATGCCTAAAAAAGCCGCACTATGACGAAATAGCCGCCGATCACTCTTAAGTTTTGATTGGTGGTTTAACTTAGACTGGTTCATGATTCCAAATAGGTTTACCCGTTACAATTTGAAACAAACCATCATATTAGCTGAAATTATTCAAACTACTGAATTTTATTAAGTAGCTTAACACATATAGTAATAGTCAATTAAAAGAAAGACAGTTACAAATGGAAATAATAGTTTGGCATGGAACTATTGTAATCGCCACCATGTTTATAGTGTATTAGTCCAACAAGTTCATCTTCTACATGATTTCTATAATAAATTATTAGAAGTAAGTGTTGGCGATACATAGTTGCGATATCGTGAGGCGACCTATTTATACGGATAAAATTAATATTTTAGAACTGAAAAGGGTTTTATTACTCTAGTCTAGAAGATTCAACAACTGAAGAAACTCAGCATCCAACCAAACCGGTAAATATTGTATTACAAAAGATTCAAAAATTCTATATTTGATTTTGCATTACTAGTTGAAGTCGCATACTACTAAGAATTCATGTGTTATAAAGAAAAAATCTATTTCGGTTAACAATTGTTTTTAATAGTTCTTCATCGGACATCACCTCATAATTGAAATGACCTTCACTTACTTGTTAATACTCAACAACTATTCATAACTGGTATTATATAAAGAAAGAAGGACGAGACGATATGACTAATCATTAACAGTAAATACGAAACGATACCTGAATAAAATCAGATGGATTTTTTGTGGAGATTGTAGTAATTTCAATGGTTAAGATCATGAGTCAGTTGAAGCTAGACCACCACGGATAATCTGGAATCACTGGACGGTCGTTTCATCCTATTGTGGGACTCCTCAACAGTGCGCATCCACGACCTCGCCCCTGCGAAGTTCGAACCCACGACCTATCGGTCTCGCGGCTGGTGCTTAACCAACTAGATCTCTGAGCCGGCATCCAACGGTATTAATCTCTAACTTCAACTAATCCACGAAATCGAGTGACACATCCACCATTGTCTTCAGTCAGTTACTATCTCACAACAGACCTGGTTGAACTCCAATGGTCACTAATTCTCACGAGAACTCCAGGATATACCTCTTGAAGCCAGTCACTAGTGAGCATATGTTGGTTAATATCAGATGGGTGTTTTGTGGAGATTGTAGTGCTCGCGCGCGAAACCAGTAGGTCCTGGGTTCGAATCTCGCAGAGGGCGAGGTCGTGGATGCGCACTGCCGAGGAGTCCCACAACAGGGCGAGACGGCCGTTCAATGATTCCAGGTTTTCCATGGTGGTCTAGCTCCAACTGACTCATGATCTGAACCATCGAAAGATACCTGAACACTTTATGTTTTACATGTTTCATTTATGTTGATCAATGGTTAGGTTTAAATAAATTGATTTGAGTGACACTAGACATTAATTAATCAATAACTTAATGTTTGAATAGGATATACAATAAGAATTACGTAATCAACAAATGCAACTGATTATTTATTTATTTATTAGTTGAAGTTAGACACTAACATTGTTGGATACTGGCCAGCTCACGCAAAGTTAAGCCTTCGCGCGCGAGACCGATAGGTCTTGTTTTCGAATCTCCCGAGGCAGGATAGTGGATACGCATTGCTGAGGAGTCCCATAATAGGACGAAACTACCGTCTAGTGCCACCAGGTTTTCTATGATGGTCTAGCTTCAATTGACTCATGATCTCAACTATTAAAAGTTATCTATTTACTTATTCAAACATATAAACATTGGTACAAGGAGGCACTAAATAATAGATATACACCACATAAATCATTCGATTTGTGTGAACACTGGGGATACTGCCTCGGTGCTCAAACTGAAGCAGGTAATAATAGTATGTTTAATGTATATTACAGTCAGTCAGCCAGCTGAAAACGTAGGACTAGGCACATATATGCATCGGTCCAAGTTGCCATACCTCATTAACACAACAAGATGGACACCGGATTCATAAAAGTAGTTAATTCAGTTGTGGTAATATATGAAAGAAAGATTGCAATAAGGATATAGTACAGGAAGAAAGAAATAGTTCGTAGAAAGAAAGATAGGACGCGATTTTAATCTCATAGTTTAAGGGAAGACAGAGAGTGTATACACCGACGCCATTGATTCTGAGCCATGTCACCAAGAGTCTCCAACCATTGGTTACGATAGTCACGTGCACCCCAACCAAGTAGTCTGCATCTACCAACATGGCTCAGACTAGAAGTTAGTGACTTAAAGCAGTGATGCCACGTTTTGGTTTGGCCGCCCCTAAGTGAATAATGAATTCAATTTCTATGATGTTTCCATTACTTTTTCATTATGAAATAATCTCTAATTATATTGTTTTGTTTTTTAATGTTTTCTTAATAGAGAATATGAATTTTTATCAAAATTAGAAAATGATCTCAATAAAAGTATGAATTCAGGTGAAGTTAAATTCTATGTAACATTAAGTGAAATTAGTGAAACTTTTATTGATAATTCAGAGTGTAAAAAATTGAAAAAGAAAATGAAAGAAGAAAAATCTCGTGTATTTGCTACGGAATTCTCATCACAAATTCCTGCTACAACCACATCAACGGTAGATATTGTTTAAGTATTTTAATATATATTTCATTGTGTTTTAATAAACTACTATTATTGTTACTCCATATTGTTATAATTTGTCGTTTGAATGCTTATTGTGATTAGATGGTGGTTGAAGGTAGTGCTATTTAGCACTCGTCAGCATGGTGTACCTGTAATCTTGAGGGAACTGGTGCTCCCTGGCGGATTTGATCAATCAATTGTGATTACATCTCAGTCCTACAAGATGTCAGCCGCCGCTCGGATAGCTCAGTGGTAACGTCTCTGGCTGTGAAGCTGGGTGACACGAGATCGAATCCGCCAGGGAGCACCAGTTTCCTCAAAATTACAGGTGCACATTGCTCACTGTGCGCAAACGATACATCCAACCTGTCATTGTTCCTTCGCCCTCACTCCCTTCTCCACTATGTTTTGCTCTTGTTTTCCTTTCTAGCTTACTGTTCTGTAATTCTAAACCATAATCAGTTATTACTATCCTGTAAAAGTCCTTCATGGTTATTATTCACTTATCATTATGACCTTAATTCTGCTCAGTTTTCTTCATATCTGTCCAGTGGACAATTATCTTTTATAACTCTCACCTGTAAATTATTTTCATCCTCCTACACTACTTTCACGTCCTGATTATTACTCAACCTCTTTTGATATTTCGAGTCTCGAATCACTTTGTCATGCGATCTTTCCTACCTTTCTATGAGCATATATTTACCAAACAACTACAAATACGAATGTACAGCTTAAGTAAATGATTTTATTGTAAAGGAAAATTTCTTCAGTGAATTCTAATTATTTTTATTTGATGACACACTGGGCTTTGTTTTAATTAGTTGAATATATACCTTTACTTTTGTAAGACAGTAACAGTTATTCAATAAACACTAATTACATTTAGATGTTTCTATCATCAAGAAGGAACTGCAAACCTCTGTGAAAGTCTAAAATCTTCTGATTGATTACTTTGAAAACGTAAAAAATTAGTTTATATCGTTACTAACACGTAGATATTGATATTGAAAACAGCAGGGAAAACAACACTCACTTATCTAATGAAATGAATGAAATGTATTCTCTGTTTTTCTCTTCTATTGCTTTTATTGCATAAATGTTAATGATTTACTTAGGGAAAATACACATGTGTTATATAACGAGAAATAGATTTAATTATTCACGATTCTATACTGATCGCTATATCTAAACATCACAACCGTTGATCATGTGACACGGTCGACTAGGTAATTCCATCAATGTTCAAACACCACGTTAGAACAGAATGAGAATTAATTACGAAACAAATACAAAGCAATGAATAATGGAAATCAAAGTGGAATGAATTTATACATGATAAATAGTCTCTTTTGTGTTTGTTGTATTCGAATGAGTTTATGTTCCGTCGTTGACCCGTCACTGTCTACTTTCCTCGGACTCAACAATTCCAAACACTTAGTTTTGTTATCACTATGAAACGATGTTAAATAAAGTATTTTCTCTTTGATTATATTATATATAATGTTGCATCAGATATGATATATTCGTACCAATCCTTTGGTTACTGGATAGTAATAAATGTTATGCCATATATATCTTACTGGTGTTTATCGAAATAAATCGATTATGTTGTAATATGACAATGAAACTATTACAAGTCATTAGTCTTAGTTATAACGTCTATAACAAACTCAATGGATGATATGACTTTGGATGTTTGATAAAACAATTCTTTAAAAAAAAAATACTCCTTTCTTGAAGAATACTGATCATCATTAAAAGAAAAAACGATCTAAACTCTGAACTCGTAATAATCTCTTCAAAAGTATAGTTGATATGATGGGGAGATTTTTGTACAACATTAATTCCGTTTTAATTCAATGTGATGTAGGATTCGGTTTTGTTTTCCTTTATGGTATTCTGCATATTGTGTATAACATACGATATTCTTGTATTAAGTTAACATGAACTAAACTCAGCATAGGATTTGTTATTTCTGTGATTTCATCCTAATTATTAATCAAAAATGGGTGTATATATCAATATATAAATGATTGTATTCTCGACTAGAATCATCGTGTTTTTGGGGTTAAAAAACCATCACTTATACCAGTCTTTATGTTCATACTTTTGAGTTGTGGCAATTGTCGAGGTCCTTCGTTTCACTTACAAATGATATAATATCCACAAAACCCATCTGATATGCTCACAAGTTAGTGGCTTCAAGAGGTATATCCTGGAGTTCTAGGGAGAAGTAGTGACCAGTGGGGTTCAACCAGGTCTGTTGTGAGACAATAACTGACTGAAGACAATGGTGGATGTGTCACTCGGTCTCGTGGATTAGTTGAAGTTAGAGATTAATACTGTTGGATGCCGGCTCAGTGGTCTAGTGGTTAAGTACTCGCGCGCGAAACCAGTAGGTCCTGGATTCGAATCTCGCAGGGGGCGAGGTCGTGGATGCGCATTGCTTAGAGTTACCGACAATAACAATCAGCGACGACCAAACATAACAAGTAGCGTTCAATCGGCAAAACATATCAATATTATATATGAATTCATCCATATTTTACTAGATTCCAATATTTGAATTGTTTTATTATGGAATATCTGTTTGTTTGATTCTTATAGCTCACTCAATCTGATAATTATTCTGTCGCAGAAAATATCGATGTACCAACTTTACGTTCAGGAATTATTAATAATTCAGTTGTAAGTTTAATATCATTACGAATATTTTCGAATATTTTTTCTGTTTAGCGTTTTTTTAGCGAGTTAGTTTTCTACGGGATGGGGTCGCTAACCCCATGCTTAACCTTCCTCCTTTATGCGGGCTTGGGACCGGCAGTATCCCCCGGAGGGACTGCAGGTGGAGTTACGAATATTTTAGATAAATCCAAAATGTATTACTAATGATCAGGATATTGGGGTTGGTGTCGTTGTTTTTGTTTTTCGAGAAAGTTTTGAATTTTATCACTAATACGATTTTATAACGAAATGATGACAAATAATGACTGTTACCCTCTCCTGGGTACAATATTTCACTGAACCAAAGAATATTATAATATAAAGTCCAATCTATTGTTTCGATAAAAATATAGGAAAAAGCTTGTTATTTTTATCACAAACTAGTATGAATCAGTATCTTAATTAATTACTTACGCCTTTTACTCCCAATGGAGCATAGGTCGATGACCAGCATTCTCCAACACACTCTATCCTAGTCCTTCATTTCTAGTTCTATACAATTATTGATCATTTTTCTCATGTCTATGTCCATTTCTCGGAGTAATGTGTTATTTGGTCTTACTCTTTTCATTTGACCTTGAGTATTCCAAGTGAGGGGTTGCATTGTGACTCAGTTTGGTGCTTTCCTTAATTTGTGTGCTATCCACATCCATTGCTTCTTCTTGATTTCTTCCTCTGCTGGAATCTGGTTTGTTCTCTCCCACAGTAGGTTGTTGTTGATAGTGTCTGGCTAACAGATGTGAAGTATTTTGCGTAGACAACTGTTAATAAACACTTGTATCTGAATGAATCAATATCTACAGTGAAAAAATTTTCCTACTTAGTTGAACAATTGACCTAAAGGTTGATTTAAACTGTACCCGTTTTTGTCAATTAAATTATCTGTAATAACAGCATTTGTTACCACTTCTTGAAACGGATTCAACATTTACACACTTTTTTATCTTAATATCAACATAATATTGAAAACACTTATGGTTAATTTACGTTAGACGAATATTTACACTAGATTCCCTACCACTGTCTATTCTACAGGACGTCAACACAACTCAGACCAAGAACACATGATTAGCATGACCAAAACGTAAATATATTTCCACATCGAAAAGCTGACAACAATCCGACACAATCCAACAGCAATCGATAATCAGTCAATAATAATAAGGACAGGACTATATATAACTCCTCTAACGTCTGTCAGATTATCTACAAGTCTGACTAAACAAACCAACCAATCATTATCATTCTCTATTGAGATCATGAACCGATTGATGTTGGAACACCATTGAAAACCTGGAAGCACTGGACGGCCGTTTTGTCCTATTGTGGGACTCCTCAGAAGTGGTCTAACACCAATCGGTTCATGATCTTAACCAAAAACTTAACAATCTGCACAACCCCTAAACTGATCCTTATCATTCTCGCCCACACGTCACATTTCAAATTAAAAAGATGTGGAAAAGTTAAGTACATTAACACCGTTGGATGCTGGCCAGCTTACTGGTCTAGAGGTTAGGCGCTCACGCAAGACCAACAGGTTCTGGGTTCGAGTCTCGCTAGGCGGGATCATGAATGAGCACTGCTGAAGAGTCCCACAATAGGACGGAACAGCCTTCAGTGCTCCCGGATTTTCTATAGTGACCTAGCTTCAATGAACTCATAATCTTAACTACTAAAAATTACTATAATATCCATAAAACCCCTTCTGAAATTTATCTTTACTTTAAGATATACAAAAATTATCGAATAGAAATTATAAAAAGAATAGGGGAATTTCAAAATTATGCACTCTTCAAGTACTTTTTACACAAAATAGAAAAATTAATTTTAAAAACAAAAATATCAATTTACAGTATAAGATAAACCAATGGGGTTGGAAAATAGAAGAACAATTACGTCAAGTGCTTTCCGTAAGTGATAATACTTTTATAAATTATTATCTTTTTTGATTGAGATCATGAACTGATTGATGTTAGACCATCATTGAAAACCTGGAAGCACTGAACGGCCGTTTCGTCCTATTGTGGGACTCCTCAGCAGTGCGCATCCATGATATTATCCTTTTTTTCAATTCAGAGAATAGTTCATTCATTTCAATCAACCCTCGAGAAAAAAATTAAACTTAATAGTAATCAATCTATACGCGACTATATTTAAGTTTTACTACAATTCTATGATCTCTAGTATTCATATTCAGTATTTACCTATATTTTGAATATACAATGTAGTAGTTGGTATTCTGAGTTGTTTGTTTTTCTATAATGTTGTTACTGTATGTATGTTACACTGGATTAGATCAGATTTTACTCATTTAGACTATTGGTCATACTTCTTACTCTCATATTGATTGTATTTTTGCCTATATGTAGACCATGTTTATCCATAGTGTTTAACAAAGTAAACACACATAAGTGAAACCTAGATAAATGTAGACTGTTAATAGATCTCCTCTAATTACTAAACAACAAAATAATCAATAATTATAAATTTCAGTTAATCATATATCTCAGTGTTTTGTCAGTCGGCTTCAAACTACTTGGTTACTAGTAAGTAGTTCAAACAAAATAAAATTATGATGACAAGTTTTGTAGAGAAATGATCATGATTAGTACTAATTTCATCCTTCAACTAATTAAAGGTTGTCTACTACAAAGTACGCCAAAAAAAGCCGATACTGCTATTCTGATTTCTTATGGTTAGTTTCATGATTTTTATTACCACTTCCAAAGAGCTTTTTACATATATTTGGTTTCGATTTACACTTACAGACACGTTCTCAGCAATATAATCCACAATCTAATCAGTCAAACCATGATTCAACAGAAATCGTGGATTTCATAGAAGACTTACAAAACGATGATGGGCAACCAAATTTATCAAAACAAGGAGACAAATCTTTACAAAATCGTGTTGAAGACAACTGGACGGAACGAAATCAATCTTTACTACCTCAACCTAAATGGCCGTATAATTTTTATGAAGGTACTAGCCTAGAGTTGTACACTAGCAAATGTCAAGGTGATACGAATGAAAGTATTGATAAACTATATACATTGAATAATGAAATACAAATGGAGAGTTTGTTTCAACAATCCCGTTTAATAGTTACGTTGGTCGGTGCAAAAAATTTAAAAGTACGAACTAAACTAAAGAATGTTGTTGCTGTCAGTGAGGCCGATACTTGTAAAGCACCACGTGGTCGATCAACAAGAAGCCATCCAGATCATACACTAAATGGTTTAGATGAAGAAAAAAACAATTTACCTTGTCCAACAGTGTTTTTAACTGTTGGGACCAAAACACATCAAAGTAAAGTAGGTTGAATAAATCATACATTAGCGATTTAAATATTCTTAGAACTGATTATCATCAATAAAATATAACATTTAACCGAATCATTTCTCAAAACAGTATGTTGGACTGTATCAATATATCTTGTCTTAGTAATATAAAGGAAAATAGTTTTATCATATGTTTGATTACATAACAGATAAATTGATATCGGAAGGGGTTTTTGTGGATATTACAGTAACGTCATTAGTTGAGCTCATCAATCAATTGAAGCTAGACTACCATGGAAAACCTGGAAGCACTGAACGACCATTTCGTCCTCTTGTTGGAATCCTCAGCAGTGTTCATCCACGGAGTCTCACGATAGAACGAAACGGCCGTCCAGTGCTTCCAGGCTTTCCATGGTAGTCTAGCTTCATTTTACTCATGATCTCAACTATTGAGATAAATTGATATTTTTCCGTATTTAAAGAAAACATCACTGTAATTTGCAAGGCAATAAATCATTAAAGTGCAATACAACGGAAAATAAAATACAAATATAGTATAAGTGAGAACAGTTCTTCAAAGTATGACAAAAAGGCTGTTGAGTTTTGATGTCTTCACTTCACTTCCGGAAGAATAGTCATATATATATATATATATATATATATATATAATTTTGGGGAATTTTAGTGTTTCATTTTAGATAACCTATTAGTTTTAGGGAAGGAATGTTGTTACTTGTGCAATACCATTTTAAATGTGGTGAAAAACAGTAATATGAGCTATTTTGAGCAAAGATACATACTTTTCAAGCAAAGATGGATAGTAGCTAGCAGTAGAATTCAGGATGCGCACTTCATCCTATTTGGGACTTGTCAACTGGATGTACCTGCATCTCGGACTTGTTGACGTTTACCCCGGGACTCGGACCCAGTACCATTTGCTTCAAACACCATCACGTTATTCACTTAGCTACTGAGTCCTGATAGCCATGTGTTTTTGCAATGGGGTGAAGTTTAAATTTACAAGCTTCTTAAGCAAAGTTGCATAGTGGCTAGCAGTGGAATCCAGGATGCGGGTTTCGTCCTGTTTGGGACTCGTCAGCTGGATGTACCTGCTTGTGACTTAAGACTATATCGAGACAATCCGCACAGGATGCACATATGCCAACAAGAGACTGATCGATTACAGTCCTAAATAACAATGGGAAGATACAAGTAAAACAATACCAAGTGAATTTAGAGATACATACTGGTCACACTTCTGAATACTTTGAAGGAAGTTACAGTCAGAAAAAGGATTGACATCATTTAAAATGGTGAATTAAACCAATCAAAGCACCTCAGAAATATACTGCTTCTTTGTTGTTTACAACTAATGAATATTCTATATTCTCATTAGGCTTCCATAATGAGTGAATTTTAGTCATTTCTATCAAATGATGAAAATACCTTTTACAAGATAAGAAATGTTTAGGTTTCAAGGAGGAGATGTAGAAATGTTTCATGTTATTATCATCTACCGATTTGAACTGTTGTAAACGATAGTAAACATATGAACATTGAAATTAATTATTCTAATGGTTCTTCGTTGTCTTTATACATCGTGATAAGTAATATGTAAACAAGTTGATGCTATATGTTTTTAGTCTTGAGCATTTAATTAGTATACAGTTATTCATTCTCAGCCTCAGTTTCCACTTCATATTTTTATTAATATTTTAGATAACATTATTTAATAGTTCAGGTGTATTAAGTGATCCACTTACTTACTTCATTACGGCTGTTAGCCCTCGTGAAGGAGCAAAGGCCGCCCACCAGCACTCTTCAGAATATTTCTTTAACTGTTTTATTACATTAGTCATTTTTTGTTGTTTTTTAAGTGTTTGCTGGTTTAAGGACATATTATGAACTTGTGATTTATTGTTGTTACTACCGATAAACCTGATGTTTCTGATATTTTAAATGCTATTGGATTTGAATCCATATCAGAGAATGTTACGTTCAGAAATGTGATCACTCACTTGTTAGGATCATTAATGACCTCCAATATATGTGATATATTTGCACCGATTGATCACATACTAGTAGTAATTAGTTTCGTATTAACCAGATCTTAATGCTAATCAAATACTACTGATAAAGTTGTAGAATGACCACTAGTCTATGTAACCAAAAATCACAATGTGTCCATAATACTTGAACTGTTGCATTTTTTTAATGGTCTCTAACTTTTTAACACAAAAATGTACCGAATTGTATATCTGTATCAGTTGTATACTTTGCATGTGTCTTATTTATACCGGCAAGGTTGTAATGCATACAAAAAATCCATTATGGAATGAACGATTTGAATTTCGTGTTCGTCCTGGAATGAGAACAGTACTTCAGTGTGAAGTATTTGATGACTCACATCAAAATACCAATCTTCTCGGTCGGTAAGTTATACTAAAAAGCTTTGACTGAAGTTATTTGCCTTGTTTAATTAGATAAATACATACAATGTTCAGTGTGGCTACATCTATCAATATTCATATACATTAGAAAACTTTTATAGTTCAATATGATGCTCAGATGATGAAGATCGTGGATCACACAAATGATTTGTATTACTGTTATATTTTCTGAAATAAGTGATTAATTGTTGCGAAATGAAATGTTACACTAGACATCATAAACAGCATCAGCTTTTTGTCAAAAAAGCCAGTCACTAGATAAGATATGCACAGTAAGACTAACAATCTGTTCAAATGATCTGATATGGTAGTTAGGACGATTACGAGGATCAGTCATGGAAGCTAAAGAAAGGCTTTATAAATCCACCACTGGGACACAAATGTTTGTTGAACTGAAATCTAATTATGAAGGTACTTTTCATCACTAGAGATCTATTAAAAGATTAAGAACAGCTCATGTCAATTCATGATGAAAGATGATTTTCAATTAAACAAATTTGTATCAGAAGGGGTTTTGTGGATATTATATTGATTTCGATAGTTGAAATCATGAATCAATTTTAGCTAGATCACCATGGATAGTGACTAGCAGTTGGGACTCGTCAGCTGGATGTACCTGCATCTCGGACTTGTTGATGTTTGCTCTGAGACTCGAACCCTGTACCATTCGCTTTAAACGCCATCGCGTTATCCTCTTCATTTCGTACTTAAAATTGATCGAGTTTATCTATTTAACTACGTCGAACATTTTATTTTCCTTCAACTAATGTCATCCCACTTTTTATTAATGTGAATTCAGATTTTATTTAGATTTTTCGAAAATTGTCCTTGACTGGACAACATGTTTCACACTGAATAATCAAGATGGTCGAGGTCATGGTGAATTACATATTTTAGCTACAATGACCGGATTATTTCCAATTTGCAATGCCACTATTCCTAGAACATTTTCATCAGATCAGTTAAAATTAGAAACTGATTCAATTTATGGTGATTTGTCTAAAGAATCTATTTCGAAAAGCACATTAGATCAAATAGCTGAATATTATGCAAGTTACTCGTATACAACAGTTTAAATAATGTGAATATAATGTTAATTATTGCCTGTTTATGTTGTGATTTGGAGTCCATTTCAGTTACCGTAAGCACTCCAAACTATTGACCATTTGAAGCAGACCAAAATGAGGGAATATAATGGTAACATAAGAAATCGTATTAGCAAAATCTAGATCAAAGTACTTATATGTATATAACAGATCTACAAATAACTTAGACAGAGATATATGAGGATTGGCTTTGAGTAGGTCAACAAGTCACGTACTCGCCTAAACTCGATTACAAATATATTTGGATAACCTAGAGGCTTCAAGACACTACTTAGCTATCTTAAATAGTTGACATCTTGAAATTACATATTAATTAGCGGATAATATATCTTGTAGTTTCTATCATGAACTTGATTGGGCTAAACAACTGTTGGAAATCAGAGAGCACTAGACAGTTATTTTGTCTTAGTATGGTTTACATCAGTAGTCACAATACGTGCCCCAACAATAATTGAATTAGCACATTCATGTTTTGTGACAAACGTATCATTTATGGACATCTGACATGACATGCGCTTTTTCAAATTTCCAACTTTAATGAATACGAGAAAAATGCACAGACACCATCAATTGCCATTTACGATAACTGTCTTACGTTTATAATAGTTGAACTCCTCTAGTTATGATTTTTCACAAGAACTTTAGAAATTTTTTTTGAAAGTTAGTCACCTATGAGCACATGATTAATATTAGTATAGACTGCTCGTGGATTATACTGTTAATTGGCTCATGATCATTTGATTGACATTACCTGATATTTAGTCATACAAACCATAAATTATTCACCGACATTCTATTTCTCAGCACGGATTCGAAAAGCTCGCTTGGCTTTTGCCAACTTACGTCACCTATGGCGAAGGCGAGATATCCGTCTATCAATAAAACGACGAGTATACTGCGCGGCAGTCCGTTCTGTTTTAATTTACGGCAGCGAAACATGGCCGCTAAGAGTAGAAGTCACTCGTAAGCTACTAGTATTTGACCACAGATACCTTAGAAATATTGCTGGCGTCTGTTGGGATCACCGGGTAAGTAATAGTGAGGTTAGACGCAGGGTATTAGGGAGTGATGGTAAATCAGTTGATGAGGTTATGAATCTTCATTAACTGAGATGGTTGTGCCACGTGTTACGTATGCTTGCACACCGAATGCCACAACGCGCAATACTGACTATTGTTGGGGATGATTGGAAGAAAGTTAGGGGTGGCCAAACCAAAACGTGGCATCAGTGCTTGAACTCACTAACTTCTAGTCTGAGCCATGTTGGTAGATGCAGACTACTTGGTTGGGGTCCACGTGACTATCGTAACAATGGTTGGAGACTCTTGGTGACATGGCTCAGAATCAATCATAATGGCGTCGGTGTGTACACTCTCTGTCTTCCCTTAAACTAAGAGATTAAAATCGCGTCCTATCTTTCTTTCATTCTACGAACTAATTCTTTCTTCCTGCACTATTTCCTTATACACAATCTTACTTTCATATATTACTACCATTGAAGTAACTACTTTTATGAATCCGATGTCCATCTTGTTGTGTTAATGAGGTATGGCAACTTGGACCGCTGCATATATGTGCCTAGTCCTACGTTTGTAGCTGACTGACTGACTGACTAACATTCTGTTTAACTATATTATACTAATGTCATTGTTATATCTTACTTTACAACCAAATCATTTAAACCATAAATAGTTTTATAATTGTACGAAACAGATATCGATAACTAATGGTATATTAATAAAAATATGTCATTGAATAGTTTTGAACAGAATGAATTAAGTTAATTATATGTATGACACATATGGGGTATGTCTATCATCTCTTTCTACCCGGTTACATTTTAACTGTAATAAGAAGTAAGCTATAAGTAACATCAAATATGATGAATTATTATTATTATTATTATTATTATTATTATTATTATTATTATTATTATGCTGTTTGCTTGTTAACAAAGTTATATACCTAGTCATATATATTTCATAACTTAATATCATTATTCTTATTCTTCAAATTATATCATAATGATCATTATAGAAAATTAGAAATACACTTCGAAATGGTCAGATGTTGGCTGGTTACATATTGTTGGTAAGTGGTCATTTGAATTTCTTAAAAGTTAATATACATAAAAGTACAAATGATATTCATGGTAACATTTTCAATAATTTAATTTGATTTTCTAAATTTTATCAATGTTATCAAATAGTGGTATTGAGATAAGGTTGTAAGATGTTAAGTTCAATGTAATTGATAGGTATCCTATCATCATTGAATGAAGTACATGATGATCTTTTAGTAAAAGACGAATCTAAAACAAAGAAAAAAGAATGAAACCTCTATGATCCAAACCTCAATAAAGTTATTTACAGTTTAATACATTCTAAACTTAAATTGACGTTTAACCGAGTTTAAACAACTCCTATTATACAGATATTTGGACATTAAGTAAATAATTGTTATAACGGTTATTCAGGATGTAAAAACCTTTACATATTTGGGCAGCATCATTGATGAACAGGGTGGATCTGATGCAGACGTGAAAGCGCGGATCAGTAAAGCAAGAGCAGCATGTTTACAACTGAAGAACAGCTGGAACTCAAAGCAACTGTAAACCAACATCAAGGTCAGGATTTTCAACACAAATGTCAAGACAGTTCTACTATATGGGGCAGAAACCTGGAGAACTACGAAAGATATCATCCAGAGGACACAGGTGTTTATTAACAGTTGTCTATGCAAAATACTTCGGATCCGTTGGCCGGACACTATTAGCAACAACCAACTGTGGGAGAGAACAAACCAGATCCCAGCGGAGGAAGAAATCAGGACGAAACGCTGGAAGTGGATAGGACACACATTGAGGAAAGCACCGAACTGCGTCACAAGACAAGCCCTCACATGAAATCGTCAAGGCCAAAGGAAGAGAGGAAGACCAAAGAACACATTACGCCGGGAAATGGAAATGAACATGAGAAAAATGAACAAGAATTGGATGGAATTAGAAAGGAGGCCCATGACAGAGTGGATTGGAGAATGTTGGTCTGCGGCCTGACTCATAAATTATTACTAGTTGATTATTGAATCATTATTTTATGTGTTCGGGGTTCAAGGTGAATTAACTTGCAAGAGTTTGGAAGTAGGCTATAAAATCAATATCATAAAGTTTAAATGCTCACTTCTAGTGAATTCCAACAGGGTCAGTAGTAACCATTTGTTTCAATGTACAATAAAGAATGTGTTGACTTTAAGTTACAATTATTAGGCTGATTAGTCTTTTTGTTAGAACAGAATGAATCAGATACTTTTAAAAATAGGGTATTATAATAATAATTGTAACCATGATACAATAACAATTGTCTACAATACTTTTTGTTATAATACAACAGCCATAATAGTACAACAGGATCGAGTTTTCAGTATCAAGATTTGGAGTCACTATAACTGTGTTGACGTTATACTTATTAAAGATTGACATTTTGAACATACAATTCTACAATGATTTAAATTGCTTGTTACAAAGTTAAAAGTGAAATCTTTTGAAAAGAATACATGAGTACAGAAAACCCTTTAAAAACAATGACACTTTTATAGTTTACATCACAGGCTGATATTAATTTTAAAAAAACCCACTGAAAATCGGAAATCACTGGACGACTGTTTATACTTTGTATTGGACTCCTCGGTAGTGATCATCTATGACCCTACTGGGGTTCGAATCCATGACATCCGAATTCAATGATGTCCATACTAATAATAGTATTTCCGTGAATTTACGTTGTTAGATACTGATAAAAGTACTAAACATCTAATTAGTTTAGTTCGAAACCCATTTATTAAGGCTGAACTTAAAGCGTTCAATTATTTTAGCAGTGTAATTTTAATATGAAAGGATGTTTACAATATATAATTAGTTAGATCAAGTCACTAAACATAGTTTGATAATCTTCGTCTTCTTATTACATTATCGAAACTAGAAGGTGCTTTACTCTCCTGCCCAACTCACGTATAACACATTCATTGGAAAAGAGAGAAAATTCACAGATTTAATTCCATTGGAGACTATGGTTTTGAAGAACTGTCCAATTCTTCTCATCTCTTAATGTTTATTCAAATGTTTTAAGAAGAGATAGATCATGACTAAAAGTGGAAATGAATATTAATTTTAATATAATGTGAATTATGCAATAATTGTTTAAGATATAACTACGTTTCTCAAAAACAAACGATTTCTATCGACTCTACTGAAATAGTAATAGTAGTTCAATTAAAGAGAAAACTTATTATCTTTATTATTTATTAATTATTTATTTCAACACATAAATATTGGTACAAGAGGGCAACAAATATATATGCGCCACACCATATTTGTGTGTGTGGGATGTGACATTGCCCAGGTGCCCAGACCGAACCAGGTGATTTTCTTAGGGGGCCACACCCAGAGCCTTTGACCTGAAAACCTGATCCACAAGGCAGTGGAGCATCGTGAGGAGATGCAGTCCCATGGTAACCGGTGACCAACGACTGGTTCATACACCATTTGCCACCGCAGGACACTGGAGCCCATGTGCACCATTGGTTTGAGATCCGGTTAAATCGCCGAACATTCGCTTTCCGTCCTCTCATTTTCGTAAACATCCCCGCCACGAGAAGGCAATGAGTAGGACTTCCCTGGCAGAGGCTGTTTACGCGTGGCTATGTGAAAGCATCTCGAGATAAAGGGCGAACCCATCCCACTCTCGGCCATACCAGGTCATTTGGGGGCTATTATCTTTATGATAGTGGAATATTTAAATAGGCTATTAAATTATGCATATCTAAATAACAATTATAGTTACATATTCAGTCACATTACCAGTTAGACAATCAGTTACGTAGAACCTAGCACATATGTGCGTTGGTTCAAGTTGCCATACTACATTGACATAACGAGATCAAATTGTCAAGACAAGTCCCAGTAATAATAATAATAATAATGATAATAATTATAATAAAGATTTGACATAGAATGCATGTTTTTTTAAGTAAATATAGATTCCTGGAATCAGAACATTATAATATACTTTTAAATTTCAAACCCTGAGGGATTATAAAACGTGAAACCACCCACTTTAATGAGAATAATTCTGAGCCATACTGCTCACAGTATTTAGACATTGGTTACTAATAATATCGTGCAGACCCTGACTAGGGAGCTTGCACCTACCTACATGGCCCAGCCAAATTATCAACGACTTTGTGGACCAATGCCACTTTCTTGTCCTATACATTCTAGGGCGTTAATCCATACCAAAATATTTAATTCTTTATAGTATTTACATTTAAAGAATTTAAAATTTATTTTTTGTTTCTTGTGTACAGTAAATCGAGCGTCTAATTTACCAGCAAAAGATCGAAGTGGAAAATCTAATGTTTTCTGTGAAATAAGACTTGTTAATCGAGTTGTACGAACATTCACAGCACAAAAGAATGCTAATCCTGCATGGAATCAAGCATTTGTATTGTAAGCTTACTTCAGTTACTTTGCATTTACATCTTTCTACCTGTTCACATTATACTATTCATATTAATTCTTACAATCATTATTATTATTATTGTTATTATTGTCATAAAATGAAATTTCATACATCTTCTAATAATAATAAGAGTAAATATTCTTTCTAATGCTCAATGTTCAACCATTAGTAGATTGAGAAACCCAAAAATAGAAGATCGAAACTATATTGTTTAAGTCATAATTGATTGATCACTGGGTGGTGATCACTGTCATGTTTGTCTAGTCTTTATTAGTGCAGATCGAATACTATCGATCTTGTTGCAATGTGGCCACCAGTCTATGTGACTCAACACTGCGGGAACTATATATTGACACTAGAAGGTGGTTGAAGGTGGCCACATTGCAACATGATCGATAGCATTCGATCTGCACTAAATAAGGACTTGACACACATGACATTGATCACCACCCAGTGATCAATCAATTGTGATTACATCTCAGTCCTACAGGTGTCAGCCGCCGCTCGGATAGCTCAGTGGTAACGTCTCTAACTGAGAAGCTGGTTGACACAAGATCGAATCCGCCAGGGAGCACCAGTTTCCTCAAGATTACAGGTGCACCTTGCTGACGAGTGCCAAGTAGCACGAAACCCGTGTCCAGGGTTTCCTGTCGACTACCTCCAACCACCATCTGATATTGTTTAAGTCTTTAGACGTGCAAAAAGAGGTCCGAGATACTAGATTGGTTTGAAGTGTAGATTTCAAACTGTGAAACAAATCAAATTGTGGTGGAACTATAATTTATAATACCAACTGACCGGAATTCAAAATATAAACCTTTGGATTACAACTCAGTGTTTTAATAATACTATGTGAATCGACAGACTTGATTATTCTAGATTCTATCACAAGTTTATTTGCGCGTAGACAGTGCTTTGAATGGCCGGTCGGGTAGCCAGTCCATTTCAGGTCATCAAAATGACGTTATAGTATAAGCTAGAAGTGAATCGAATACACTGCAACAAGTAGATATTGGAAAACTAAAGGTTTTGATCGGTTTTGAAAGTTTTACAGTGATACAAACCTTCACATACACAAATTATTTTGCTCCTGGGTTCGTTCCTGTGTGATGAAGTCATGAATATCTACTGCCAGGAAGACAAAATAGCTGTTTGATGCTTCTTGCTTTTCAATGGTTATCTGATTAAGAAGTAACAACATAGAAGACTGATGAAAACGATGATTTATTGACCCTTCTAAAACATCTCGTCTTCAATCAGAAATACATTCATTTATACATTGACTTGTACACATATTTGGTAATTATTCAACAGGTATCAGATGTATGAAAAATGCACAGAAATATTGTAAGAATAAATGCTACATTTCATGTTAGAAAGAGTTCATATTACTTTAATGCAAAAAATACACTGAATAAGTATCAGACTGAAAATAAACTACTAACATTCTGTATTTTATTATTATTATTATTATTATTACTTAAACGCATAAACATAAGTACAAGAAGGCACCAAATAGATATGTGCCACATAAATTGTTCGATTTTTGTGAGGGCTTGGATACTGCCCGGGTGCTCAAACCGAGGCAGGTGGTTTTCATAGAGGGTCACACCTGAAGCCTTCGACCTAATGGTCGATGCAACATGAGGAGATGCAGTCCCACGGTAGTCGGTGACCAGTAATTGGTTCATACGCCATTTTTTCCTCAGGATACTGGAAACCTAGTGCACCATTGGTTTAGAATTGTGGTTTTCCAACTCCTCTAGGTGAAACCACCAACGCGGTTGAAGCGACGAACATTCTCTTTTCGTTCTTTTAATTTCGTAGACAACACCCCTCCGCGGGAAGGCAGTGAGTAGGACTCTCCTAGTAGTGGTCATGTAAGAGCATTTCGAGAAGGAGAGCAGATTCTCCACACTCTCAGTCGTACCAGGGCATTTGACGGGCTGACAAAGTTGTTGCATTAAAATAAAATAGCACTTATCATATTGAAATAAAACTGGAAGTAATATTGAGAAACAGAATTACAGAATTCCTCGTTCGCTAAATCAGTTTAAAATCTCTATCTAATTTATGATTAAAATGAAATGGATACAAAATAAACTATTCTTAACTTCATAAGCAAAAATGGATTAAGGCAATGAATTGAGGCAAATATCGAGGCAATACGCATAGTATGCAAATATGCCAATAAGAGACTGATCAATTGTAGTCCTAAACATCAATTGGAAGATTAAAATAAACAATACCAAATGAATTTATTCTTAACTTCAGTTGCTTGTCTTTACTGTTTATTTATTTATTCAAGTCCAATTGAAGATATGTATTCTGTTTTGGAAGTATATGTCTATGAAGAAGGCAAAGAGTCATCTGAATTAACAGGATGTATTTCATTTCCGCTCATACAAGTAAGTTAAATGAGCTTTCGATAGTATATTCTATTGTTGTTGTTGTTTTCTCTTCTTCATCGTTTACATGATATATTCATTCAAAATGTTCAATTACATTAGAAAGTAGTTTCAGTAGTTGAGATCATGAGTCAATTGAAGCTGGACCACCATGGGAAACCTGGAAGCATTGGACGGCCGTTTTCTCCTATTTTGGGGCTCTTCAGCGTGGGCATTCACGATCCCGCCTCGCGAGACTCGAACCCAGGACATATCAGTCTCGCGCGCGAACGCTTAACCTCTAACATCTACAAAAAAGGCCCCTTCTTAGAAGTAGTATCGTCGTTTGTATTTGTTCAAAGAGTGATTCATTTGTGTACATAATTTGTTAATTTTAAAAAGAATTTAATTTAGTTAGCCTACAAATTGGATATAAAACTAACTAGATGTTTTTTGGCATATACATACAAGTGAGTCGGAATTTATTGGTTCACAGTCCAAACATTAGTCAATTCGAAGTGTTAAACAATAATGGATATGATAATATTAATTAGTCTTTAGTTTTTTATATATTCTCAGTCAAACTGCATCTAAAAACAAAATAATAATCCTGAAAATAACATCAATATGATTGACGTTAGATTGTATAACTGCCAAATTCTCAAAGTAAACTTATAGCTGCATACTGATGTGGCTCAGTGAGGAAGCTTATCATCAGATATCTACGAACCAAAGGAACTAATTTTGCGAACTAGGTTATATCATCAATATCATACGAAATTCATACGACGGACTACACTGCAAAGTTTCTTGCATGAAGGACAGCTGATAGACGCATCATCTGTGAGGACCGGAGTCAGATAAGGCTGCTAACTCTCCTCCTCTTTCTGATGGCCATCCTGATCTTGATCGTCTGTGGAGTGACATCTATAGAAGGGTCTGTATGAGATGCTTCAATAACCGGTGAGTTCAGCTGTGATGGTTTATTCAAGAGTCCTTCAAAGTGTTCTACCCAACTGTTCCACTGTCCTTGAATCTCAGTGATTTGCTGGTCCTCTTTTTCCCTGACTGGTCTCTCTTACGTACTGTGTTTCCATGCTAGCTTTTTCGTTGTGTTATATAGTTGTTTCATGTTTCCTTCTGTTGCAGCTTCTTTCTCTATCTCTGCTAGGTCTTCCACGTATTTGTGCTTATCGGCTCGAATCTTCCCCTTTACTTACTTGTTTGCTTCTGTGTATTCAGCTTGTATCCTGATTTTCTCTGTTCTCTTTCGGCTGATGTTAGTTGCTGTCTTCTTGTTCTTCCTTTCTTGAATTTTGTCTAGGGTTTCTGTAGAGATCCATTCCTTATGATGAAGCTTCATGTGGCCCAGAACCAAATCTCCTGACACGTTGAAGTTAGTGCTACTTTGATTCCTTTCCAGTTGTCCTCCATAGTAGTTCCTTCTTTGAATAGATCTTATAAGGCTTGTAACCTGTTATTGAGAGCGAACTTGAATTTGTTGAGTCTGTCAGTATATCAAAGGAAGGCTGTATTGAACATTTTTAGTGGTGTTTCTCCAGTTGTCCAGTGCTTCTTCGGCTTTAGTTTCACCTTGGCAACCACCAGGTGGTGGTCTGGAGCTGTGTCAGCACCGCTCGTGGTTTTCACGTCTCCCATTGACCTTGTGAACTTTTTACTGATGCAAATATGATCGATCTGGTTCTCCGTGATGTGGTCCGGCGAGAACCATGTAGCTTTGTGTGGGAATATTGTGCCACCTATAACCGATTTGCTGAATTCACATAGATTTGCAAATCTCTCACCACTCGTTCCTTCCTCCCACTTCATGTCGTTCGATGATATCTTCATAATCGTTGTTTTCCATTCCGACTTTGGAGTTTACATCTCACATCTGGATTGTCAGGTCCTTTCTTGAGCACTTATCTAACATCGACTGGAGCCTCTCTTAAAATTGATCTTTATCGCCATCGTTGCTATCATTAGTGGGTGTATAATAATGGATAACAATCATTGTGATTCCTTCATTTTTGTTTTGAAGGTTTCTTTGACGATCCTGGATTCATCAGATTCCCATCCTACAAGTGCCTAACTTACTTTTCGGATAGCATCAGAGTGTTATAACGCTCGGTTTTACTTCGACTAATGTTATGATGGTTGGGTTTCCACGTTTACACGTATGGGACGTTAATTTACCTTAGACGAATATCTACAATAGGATTCCCTCCCATTGTCTGTTCTACAGGACGTCAGCACAACTCAGATCAAGAACACGTTATTAGTCTGATCACAACGTAAATATATTTCCACATCGAAAATCCGACACAATCCAACAACAACGAACAATCAATAATAAGTGAGTCACATCAATGATAAGGATAGTGGAATATATAACTCATCTGACACCTGTCAAACTATCTACATGTCTGACAACCAATCATTATCATTCTCGCCCACACATCACAGAGTAACTCGGTGAGTGTGTGCAGCATTTTCTTCTTCGTGACTCGAGTACAGCAGTATCTCTCCCGAATCTATACTTTGTTGTTTCGTTTGTGTCCAGTGGGTTTCACTTATTCCGAGCACCACCAAGTTGTATCCTTTTCTTTCCGCATCTATTTGGTTGATCCTCTTGGTCTGCCACATCGTCCGAGCATTCTATGTACTTATATTAATTATTGCTCTGGTTGTTAGAAAGAGCATGGACCTCGTGACTTCCGGAAAATCTCGGCTTTCATCATGACGCATCATAATTCTTCTGAACGAAGATCCTTCGACTCAGAGGATGGAGTTTGAATGGTCTAATTTGTTTATTCTGGTTAGCGATTTTTAAGCAATGTCTTATTCTAAGGAATAGGGTTGCCGCCCCTCCTTCCCTACGCGGGCTTGGGACCGGCAGTAACTCTAGAGGAGTTACAGACAATCATCATGATTTGATAGACACACGTTTGTGGAGTAATATTATCGATTCAACCTTATATAATTACAAGACAACATCATATCTGAAGTCATCTTAAATTTTAAATTTTATTTTATCCCGCTTTTTGATATTCTTTGTTTTGATTTTTACAGCTTGTTAATCGTAGACAGAAATGGTATGCATTAAAAGACAAATCATTGACTACATTAGCTAAAGGTTCTATTCTACTACAGACTATTATTATTTTCAATCCTGTAAGCGACTTATTGATCAATGATTAAAATGTTATTTTATTGATGTTGTTATGTTCTCTGGTCTAGGTGGTATTTCATTGTCGTTCTACAAAATATCATTTATAGATTTTGGTTATATTCACCTGTTCTTATAATATTCAAGTTGATCATATCACACGATTGACCTCTGAAATTATGACTTACTGACCGTTTTTTTGTATAGGTCGATTGATTAGGTTTGTCTCATTATATCTGTTGATTGCAGTCTGATCTAAATACTAGAAATTCTATGGCACGTTAGAATTCCGGAAATTTGACTTCATCGCAGCTGAATTCATGTCCTTAGCTGATGGTTAACATTAATTGCACGGCCATTTTTACATTTATTTACGAGTGAAATTTTTTTAAATCCCCATCTCCCAATAATTTTCATTCTGTTTCGTCCAATCAACTAGCTAGCTTCAAGTTCGTTATAATTGGTCGTTTATTTCTTAAAATTGATATAAACCGTCAGTATTTGACGACATAGCACATTTTTTTCAATTATGGACGGTAGTAACGTGTAAAGCGCAAAATCTGTCGTTCCCTACGTTGGCACATAAACCGATAATCGATTCTTGAGCACATTGTATATCGTATCAAATATCACAAAGTCTGTTGTCATACGCGTTTTCGTCATTGTCGTCGTCTCGTCCAGTGAACTCCTCTGAGTTAATCGAGACAATTTCTTCCTCGTCATTGCTTAACGTTGCATCCATATGGACGTTGGTAACTTACAAAGGATGAAGGAAGATCATTGAGTGTTCATGGAAGTCCTTTATGAAAAATTATAATAACACTAACCAAGTTTCTTCTTGAATTCGATTGGTGTGTTTGTAGCTTAGTAATCTGTACTATTCAATAAAATACTGTAGTTGGCGCTTCGTTTTTGGCTTCTAAAATTCATACATAGTTGGGATTAATTTAATAACAGCTGTCACGTCGATTTATATACGAAGCCTTAGGAGTTATCTCAAAGATAATCCAATACATTACTACCTAGTTGCATGTATAACCACATAACGATTTTTATGTATACCCAAACGCCAAGTTGAAAATCGATATATCGACGATTTTTAGTGTTTCACTATCACTAAACATTATGGCATGATAAAAGATTTATGAATTCAGATTTACCTTATGCAATTATATCCACAATAGTTTTCATATAAATTGTAACTTCAGTTATTATTTTTCGGTTTAATTCAACACGATAGGCAAGTCTGGTTACCATGTCAAGGTAGTGGCTACGGTTGGGTATTACCACCTAACTATTTACACTAACTTCAATCGGTGGGTCTACGCCGACATCCTGACAATTGTTAGTTTTAATCTAAATGAAATAATGTTTGCCACTTTATAGTTGGTCAACATCACTTGGATTATTTTAATTAAAATCCAAAGAGGTCCGTAATGATATTAATTCACATTTATATGGATCTGATTATTACGGTATATTCAACATCACAACTGTTCCAATAATTAAACACAACTTTCAAGTATTATAATCAGTAAATAACAGTCCATATTCCCAGTTTGAAGGAGTTTGAGGGAGTTCTGATGTTAAATTCACTTATCGATTGCTAAAATACAGTCATATTCTGACTAACAGTGAAAGTTAATAATGTAAATTAATTTTAGAAGGGGTTTTGTGGAGATTGTAGTAATTTCAATAGTTGAGATCATGAGTCATTTGAAGCTGGACCACCATGGAAAACCTGGAAGCGTTGGACGGTCATTTCGTCCTATTATGGGACTTCTCAGCAGCGCGTATTCATGATCACGTCTCGAGAGATTCCAACCCAGCACCTATCAGTCTCGCGCGCGAACGCTTAACCTCTAGATTACTGAGCTGTCCGGGATCCAACGGTGTTAATGTCTAACTTCAACCAATCCACGAAGTTGCGCCACCGTAAACCATTGTCTTCAGTAAGTTGATATCTCACAACAAATTTCTAAAAGTCTCCACAAATTCCTCTTATATTAACCACTAGATCAATAGAATGAATGAAAATGAGCTTTCATAGGACTATAGTCATTAACTATTTTCCATTTCCATTTTGTAATTCACAGCTTAAAGCTTCAATTCGTGCATTATATCCTAAAGAAAAACGTCTATTTGTTGAAGATAGTAAAGTTAAACTACGGGTAAGTCAGTTTCAGTGTTGAATTAAATTTTTTTAATCGTCTTTTTCCAGTCAAAACTTTTTTTTAAATTTTAATCTTGTTTAACATTACTCAATGGAATCTGTATATTAGATAAACATCCAATACACACAAACGAATGCAGATAAAGACAGCCAGTGTAACAGCAGTCTCTGCATCAGTAGGCCTCAAAATACACAATGGGAAAATCAAGGTCCTCAATTAAGACACGGAGAACAGCAATCTAATCACTCTTGATGGCAAAACTCTGGAAGATGTATAGTCCTTCACATACCTGGGAAGCATAATCGATGAACAAGGAGGTTCAGATGCAGACGTGAAGGCGAGGATTAGCAAAACAAGGACAGCATTCCTACAGTTGAAGAACATATGGAACTCAAAACAACTGTCTATCAACCAATATCAAAGTCAGAGTCTTCAATACGAACGTCAAAACAGCCATACTGTACGGAGCCGAAACTTGGAGAACTGCGACAATCACCATCAAGAAGGTGCAAGTATTTATAAATGGTTGTCCATGCAAGATACTCAACATCCATTGGCCGGATACCATCAGCAACAGCCTTCTCTGGGAGAGAACAAACTAGCTTCCAGCTCAAGAGGAAATTAGGAAAAGACGATGGAAATGGATAGGACATACATTAGGCGAATCATCAAACCGCATCACAAGGCAAGAACTAACTTGGAATCCTGAAGGAAGGTGAAAAAGTAGAAGGCCAAAGAACACATTACGTCGGATAATAGAAGCAGATATGAAAAGGATGAATTACAACTGGAAGGAGCTGGAAATGATTGCCCAGGACAGGGTTGGATGGCGAATGCTGGTGAGCGGCCTATGCTCCTTTACGAGGAGTAACAGGCGTAAGTAAGTAAGTAAGTAATGTTATGGATTAGCCGAATTCTATCGATTAGGTATATTGTGTGTTGATTTAACCAAAATGTGTTAACATGTTTAATCGGTATATTATATCTAATAAAAAGGTTTTGTTTATTTTAACAGCTTGAACTGACTAAAAGTTCACTCTCTAAGTGAAATAAAGTCTAGTTTAGTGATTGTAGATGATGATGATGATAATACTGATAAATATGTAGTAAAGTCAAAAACAGCTTTGGAATGTTGTGTTCAGCTATTAAAAATCAGTAATTGATTTAGATGGTTGATTGTCGTGCTGTATTCCTAAATTAAGAGGAGAACTAAACTCTAACTGTATGACCAAAAAGTAAGGTATTAGCCTCAAAAATTGATGATACTGTATTTAGTCTCTGGTATGGCCATGAGCATTCAATACTTCGGAATCTTATACTAGGCAAAAATCGATTGCATACTCTCAAGTAATCGAGCCAATTCGGGAGAAATTCTATCTATAATTCAATGTAATCTTCATAAATTCTTCAGTTGATTACTTTTATCTGATAATTATTTGTTCAGCAGAAGTTCAATAAAGCATGGAACTAGTTACAGTTTTATTGATCTACTGGAATTAAAATACGATTTGTAAAACATAATGCTTATGTATTTGAATTCTGAGATTCAATTAATTGAGAGTGATTCGTGTAATTACTTTATTTTATAGGATTTTACAAAGAAGCATTTACCTGTAAGTCAGTCTTGATGACTTCATATTTTTAATGGTTATTATTGTTATCCTTAAAAACGCTAATAAAAATCAATGTTTTTGATTGAGATAATGAACCAATTAATGTCAGACCACCATGGAAAACCTGGAAGCACTAAATGTTTGTTTCGTCTTATTGTGGGACTCCTCAGCGGTGCACATCTACGATCCCGCTTGCGGGATTCAAACCCAGCACCTATCAGTCTCGCGTGAGAACGCCTGAACTCTAGACCACTGAGCTATCTGGGATCCAGAGGTGTTAATGTCTAACCTCAGCCAATCCGCGAAATTGCACGATCATCTTCCATTATGCTGAGGTAGATACCTGTCTCTACCCGACACGGAGTAGCTCCACTGGCCGCGGAGGTATCGTGAATGGGCGCTGATGAGGGGTCCTACAATAGGACGAAACGGTCGTCCATTGCTTCCAGGTTATCAGCAGTGGTCTAACATCAACCGGCTCATGATCTTAATCAAAAACTTAATAATCTCCACAACCCTACACTGAAAAATCAGTGTATAAGTATATATATATTACTTGTGAGTTTTTCTCAAACTCTGATAATAATTTGGCATCAATTAATTACCACATTTAGAACATAGTTATTATTCTAAATGATTAGAAATTATAGTTCACCTACTTTAGAGTTAAATTATTGGAAACATTCGAAATTAACTCTTAAATCTAGGTCTTTTTACTAGTTAGCATTTACGACACTAGTGTTTCTGTAATCTTTAAAGAACCGACGCTACATTGGAAATTCTAACCCAACTTAATCTCTTATACGTTAAGAAATTTATATCAATTGGTAGTCCCAGATAGACCACCAGTGTTTTCTAGACTTCAAGCTAAACAAACTGATGGCTTCCAACCTTAATTAGTAGTAGTTTAATGGTCTCCAATGGATTATCGACAGTCTTGTAGTACTTCTAGAAATACACTTCAGTTGAATGGTGTCACAATGAAAAGCCTAATGTCATTATCAGTCCAAATCAATTTTAGTGTTATATCCATTACTCATGCTCAGGTGATCCTGATATTGACTTCATGTGGACTTTGTAGCTGAGTGGTTCTTTGAGAAACATGTTTTTTAGTTGACAGATGGTATAATATTTCGAATTATCTCTAAAAACATGTTTTATTCTGTTGTGGAGACCCGGAAAACTTCTCGAAGAAAGCCAAAAGGGTCCCTGAAAACTGTGGAGAACATTTTATTCAGTGAGCGCTGAATAGAAATTTCTCAAAAACACCTGAAAAGTGAAATGTCACGTGTCACATCTTTTATTGGATGGTTACCTAGCCTGTTGCTATGTTTCGTAGGGTTTCGGAACTTCCCGGAAGTCCAAGGCCGTCTGACATGCTATAAATACCCTGAATTTTCAATAAATAAACTAACTTCGGAGTAAGGCGTACTTCCCATATTACGCGCCTTTTCTCCCATGTTCAAATTGTCGTCTAGAGTTAGCCTGGGGATATTTGAAGAGTTTAGGAAACCAATTCAAGCGTACAGTCGCAAGATATATCATGTTCCAATATAGATTGTCACATTACTCAATTGAAACTGGTAATGCATGTTTTATTAAAATATTCGAATGGGACTTGATGTGTGGGCGAGAATGATAATGATTGGTTGTCTGCTTAGTCAGATATATAGATAGTCTGACAAGTGTCAGATGAGTTATATATTCCACTATCCTTATCATTGATGTGACTCACTTATTATTGATTGTTCGTTGTTGTTGGATTGTGTCGGATTTTCGGTGTGGAAATATATTTACGTTGTGATCAGACTAATAACGTGTTCTTGATCTGAGTTGTGCTGACGTCCTGTAGAACAGACAATGGGAGGGAATCCTATTGTAGATATTCGTCTAAGGTAAATTAACGTCCCATACGTGTAAACGTGGAAACCCAACCATCATAACATTAGTCGAAGTAAAACCGAGCGTTATTACAGAACTTATCACATAGAATATGAACAAGTGTGTTTGTAGGACAATGAAAATATTTTTAGATTGATGAAGACAACTTTTTTTCAAAGCCACAAAAGCACTAAACCTTTATCTAGCTTTTTGACTTTAAAAATTTGTAATTTAACAGAATCACAACTGGATACCGGCTTATTGGTCTAGAGGTTAAGCGTTTGCGCGCGAGACCAACAGGTCCTGTGTTCGAATCTCGCGAGGCGTGATCGTAGATGTGCACTTCTGCAGTGTCCCACAATAGGACGAAACGACCGTCCAGTGCATCCAGGTTTTCTACGGTAGTAAAACCCCAATGGACTCATGATCTCAACTACTAGAATTAGAAGTACAACTCTACAAATACTTTCAACTTAATATTGTAATCAAAAAATGATTAAATTATTTACACTGAATGATTTGTGCAGATCATGTAACAGTGTGAATCTGAGTTATCAGATATTTTCTCAACAAACCTGTCACGTTCAGTCAAAGAATCATGAGATATTTAACTTGAATACCTGTTCGGGATGCGATTCTCCCTCTCGAAATACAAAATATTGCTTCAGGATTGGGTGGCATCGACACCTGAACTAATGATAGGGAGTGAAGTAATTGAGCGTGTCGACCACTTCATTTATCTTGGAAGTCTCATCAGCCCTTGTGTTCTGGTGTGTGACGAAATCTCAGCACGGAGACAGAAGGCTCGACTAGCTTTTACCAAATTGCGTCATTTATGGCGTAGGCGAGATATCCATCTATCAATCAAAGGATGGGTTTACTGCTCAGCAGTTCGTTCTGTCCTACTTTATGGCAGTGAAACATGGCCGTTAAGAGTAGAAGATATTAGTAGGTTACTAGTATTTGATCATAGGTGTCTTCGAAACATTGCTCGTATATACTGGGACCATCGAGTAAGTAATGCAGTTGTTAGGAAACGGGTACTAGGTAAGGATGGCAAATCAATTGATGAAGTAGTGAAACTTCATCAGTTGAGATGGCTGGGACACGTGTTACGTATGCCCAACGACAGACTGCCTCGACATGCGATGTTCAGTGGTATAGGAGTAGGATGGAAGAAAGCTAGGGGCGGCCAGACCAAAACATGGCACAAGTCCATGAAGTCACTGACAAGTGGACTGAGTCATGTTGGTAGGTGTAGATTAGCTGGTTGAGGACCGGGAGATGATAGCAACTGTTGGTTAGAGACCTTGAATGACATGGCTCAAAATCGTTTGCAACTGTGCAGGTACATTCACTCTTTGTGTTCTCCCAAATTCTAATCTCCTGATTCCTCCTTGTCTCTTTTTTCTCTTTCCAAATTTATTTCACTGGATTATACTCTTTAAATAACATCTCCAAACACTAATCTTCCCGATTACTGCTTATACTCTTACTGCGTCTACCACTACGGGATTTGAATCGACAACTACATCTCTGTGCTAATGTGATATGGCAACTCGAACTAATGTACGTACGTACGAAGTTCTACGTTGTTACTGACTGACTTTAATATTAAATAACTAAAAGTGTAGCATTAAAAATATTTGAGTTTAATTATGATAGTTTTCATTTTATGATTTTTCATTGTTTCCCTTTTATTGATTTTTTTTCTAAAAACAAAATTATGTAGCTCTTACAACGCAATATTGATCGTCTTACACCGTATATAGATTATATAAAAAAAAGTGGACAAGCTTTCATAAACTTTATTCATGGGAAAGACCATTTGTATCATTAATCAGTTTGATAACATTTGAATTGGCTGTTTTATATTTCAACCATATATGATTGGTTTCTTCTTAGCTTTATTTATGATCATCATGTTGATTGTCCCAAGGATATATTCCACTTCATCATTATTATTATCTCCAACATCAATAAATTTTCTTCGATTTTCTAAATCTAAAGATTCAGATAGTGAGGAGGTGAGTGAACAAAGTGAAAAATGGATTGTTACGTTGAATGAGTTGTGATAGATTAGTATATTTTAAAAGTAGATCTAAATAATTGATTAATATAAGCTGACGAGATGTTTAGGGACGAGGTAACATTGAACAGCTGTGTTTATCTTAATTTGATGCTTATAAATAGTTTTCACTCACAGTCCTATTCTCAGAGTTTTACCTAAGTATCAATATCTGGTTTTCTTTAAGGACGCTGTCGTGTATTTGTTTACTGGTAAAATTTATCTACCTGATTCCTGCTTGAAGCAAGAGGTATCTGCTACAACTTATATGCTTTTGCCCTTATCAATGTATAACGAATGATACTGTCAATCAGAGAACAGTAAATTGTCGACCGGATCAATGACACGTAAACCTGTGCGATCAGTCTAGAGTCCCTACCGGTCCTGCTTCCTATCTAGCCCTGCCGGTTAAGTCCAGAACACCAATCTCAGCCTCTGCGGTATGAATCATTATATTTCAAACACACTGCGTTTACATACAAACCAAACAGACTACATTGCATCACAAAATAGAAAATAACATTTGTACAAGATTTAGCCAAAAGTGGCTGTGAATGTGGGAGATTGTAATTGATAATAGATTGGGTATAACTCAATAATGGTAAGTCGTATAATAATAGTTCATAGGTCAAAATGAAGCTTATAATAAGAGAAACATGAATATGAGTAGTTTAGTTAATTAACAATTATACAATAAAAATATAGGAATAGTATTCGTCCAGAAATAGATTTCAACAATTACCATTGATTATTCTGATCGGGATATGACAGTATCAAATGAATATTCTCAGTATAATTGTAGTATTTTACAAAGGCTAAAAATAAGGCATGTATTATTGAATCTTCAGAATGGGTTTTGTGGAGATTTTTAGAACTTTCACTGGTTGAAATCATGGATCAATTTAAGCTAGACCACTATGGAAAACCTGGAAGCACTGGACGGCCGTTACCAATGGAGCTCAACCAGGTCTGTTGTGAGATAGGAACTCACTGAACACAATACTGTACGGTGGCTCATATTCGTGGATTGGTTGAAGTTAGACATTAACACTATTAGATGCCGGCCGGCTCAGTGGTCTAGTGGTCTAGTGCTCGCGTGCGAAACCAGTAGGTTCTGGGTTCGAATGCCGCGGGGTGCGGGGTCATGGATGCGCGCTGCTGAGGAGTCTCATACTAGGACGAAACGGCCGTCCAGTGCTTCCAGGTTTTCCACGGTGGTCTAGCTTCACTTGACTCATGATTTTAACCTGTGAAATTTCTAAAATCTCCATAAAACCCATTCTGATAAAAACGAAAATGCAAAAAATTTGTGTGAATAAAATGCATAGTAGGAGAATTTCATCTTGTCAATTGAGATAATATTAATAAGATTGTTGTGTGAATATAATATGTAATAAGGAGGGTGTTATCAAATTAATTACGATCAACGAATTGGGAATGATGGATGTGAGGATTAAGATAGAGACAATCAGAAATAATGATAATAAGGAAAAAATTAAATAAATAAAAATAAAGGAAGGGGGTAAGAGGTTTATAATATCCAGTCTAGGTATTCGGTGATCCAGTCGTAGGCCAAGGTAAACAAAGATGCTGGATATATTTTTTTCTGGATACATAAATTTAGTTTTCTGGTGTTGATCCAGATGGCTTCGGCTATGTAAGGCAGCCGTAATCTAGCTCCTTGAGATAGATATTTTGGAACTTGATATAAAACAGAAAAGCTTCCTCCATTTTGATATGATGTTCAGTACCTACCAAGTGAGAAAGAATGGTGCTTTTAATCGATTGTGACTGAACACTTTATCCCAAATCATCCTGACCTTTATATTTTAGTAGGTTTAACTGTTTATTATAATTAAATCAAGCTGAAATCAATAAATTTTTTCCTATTTAGAATGAAGACGATGAAGACATCATTGATCCAGAGGTAACAAATTTAATTTTCGATAATAAATACTGACCACAATTTATAGATTTATGGTGACTACTCTGATATGGATGATGAAGATGAAGCAATTTTAAAGAGAAAGGTATGAGTCTTATAAATCCCAAATTCCTCAAAAACTTGACACGCGAGTCTGGTCTTTGGATATAAAAACTTAGCATATTTCGGATTGTGTCTAGAGTTTACGAATCAGATTATATTCCAGATTCTGGGGTAAAAATACGGACTCTCATGTGTAAAGGTAAAGATCGACTGTTAACATATCAGATTTGTACCAGTGTCTTTCATTGTCGAGATAACTTGTCAAACTTATCAAATTGTTCATATCTGCTTTTCTTATGCTGATAAAAACTTTGTAGTCGATCATGTGAACGAGGATAAGTCCTCGAGCAGTTTAGAAATCTCTATTTATTCATCTAAAAAAAAAGACAAAATCTAGCGGTTTTCTTGAAAACAGAATTGGGTTGAAATTTCTTTCTATCAAGTCTAAAACCTATGATTGTTTAACTTTGTTCCAGGTGCAATCCTAGATACAATATTTTCTAACTCGCCTTTTTATCACTCAACTCTCCTGTAGTTATCACGTGAGCTAAAACTGCCAATATAATTCTGTTAGTCGTGGTCGCCGTGAAGAATCTCCTGAACTCCGTAGGTGTGACCATGAAAAATGTACTTATCTGCTAATTACACAATGCTATTTAGGGGTTCACTTAATATACTTTGGTTGTTTTCGGGTTTACTTTTAGGTGATACATTTGATCAAGTGTGTTGATTCATGACGGGATCTAAATACGAATGTCAATCATTATTTTGAGATTTTCAAGCTGCTTGTGGGATTTACAATATAATCTTTCATTTAACATGGGTCGAGTGCAGGACTATTGTATGTGTATCTGGATCAGCAAATCTCTACTTCGTAATTATACTAGGACTACTCAACGTTTACCCTTACAATTAGTCGATTCCTGCATATTACCTAATATTCTTCAATGTTCTCCATTATTCTTTCCCGGGCTTCTGAGAAAAATACCTTGATGTGTTACAGAGAGTGCTGAAGGTAGTTAGTAAGGTGTGTGGTGGATCTTTTGAAGTCATTAGTAATATGGTTTTGGATAGACATCTAAAGTCTTGTAAACTCCTGGTAGGTGTTATCAGATACTAACCATCCCCTTCATTCATATCTTTCTTCTTCTATATCTTCTGGTAGGATGAGACATAAATATATTAAAATCCATGCACGCGATAATAATAGTAATAATAATATTATTATCACAATGAAATATTATGAACTACATGGTGAAGCACTGTAACATCGTGTTAGTAGTAATAAGAAGCCTCTCAAAATTGTTTAGTCTAACATTTTCATAGGTGGAAGAATAGTTTCTTCACTGAAAATTATTGATAGACTTAACTGTATTATTCGTTAACTAATTTGAAGGTTTTTTTGTGGACATATTTATATGACCAGTCGTTAGTCTTCATTGATCTGTCCCGTTTTAACGGATTTTTTCCCTTTTCCATTCCTCTATTGTTTCGTTTTTCAGACTTTTATGTTGATTAAATGAACTTTTATTTCCAAACTTACGCTTGTTACTCCCAATCGAGCATAGACCGCTGACCAGTATTCTCCAACCCACTCTGTCCTGAGCCTTCCATTCTAGTTCTATTCAATTGTTGTTCATTCTTCTCATATCTGTCTCCATTTCTTGGTGTAATGTGTTCTTTGGCCTTGAGGATTTCATGTGAGGGCTTGTCTTGTGACGCATTTGGGTGCTTTCCTCAATGTGTGTCCTATCCATTTCCAGCAATTATTCCTGATTTCTTCCTCTGCTGGAATCTGGATTGTTCTCTCCCATAATCAAAGATGAAATATGATATGCTGATGATTTTACTTTATTTCAAATTCTTATTCTCTTTTTGGTAAAGTTAATATTGTAATGCGATTTCATACAATAAGTTTTTCCCTTTATAAATTTGAATAATGCAAAAAAACTGACGCAGAATAATATGATTTCGTTTTTACTTCGTATGTTCTCACCAAATGCTTACAACCGTATTCATTTTGGAATATAATATAATATTCGATAATAGGTGTTTGTAACTGAAGAATCGGAATTATAAGGATTATCAGTATATGTATCTATCGGGGTTGAACTCCTTATCCAGAGGTTGAAATTTGACAACCTAAACTGTCACATCGTAACCATTTAGCATAGGGATGACTATTAGACTGTAGAGATCAGTTTCTATTGCTTCTAGATAATTAGGATTAAGCGAAGGTGACTGTGACATCAAGTTGATAGAATACAACAAGCTTAAAGGTTCAGATTTGATATAGGTTGATACTTAAGTGATTGTTAGAAAGTAGCAAACCACCTAACCCCGTAATTTAATTAATTTATGAATTAAAGGAGTTTTATCTATGGACATTCAAAATTGGTTGCATACATTAAGTTACTGGATAATTAATATTCATTTATTGCCCGATTGAATGTATTCAAGTATGAATATAGATAAGTATAAGCGAAGCACAGAATTCAGTGCATTCCGACGCTGATGTCCTATTTTCGGTGCATAATAAATCATCTTTTATACACTGTGCTTCCCCCTTTGGGCCTTAACAATTTCTGTTTCCTGTAGCAAGTACCAGTTTTCTGCAGTTTTGGTAATAATCTATCAGAGTAAAAATCTCAATCTTATAAAAGGTAACCTGTCGCTCCAGCAACGCAATATCAGTCGCTGATACATGGTAAAATAAGTTTCACAAAAAGCATCAATTTTTCCAAGATAACAGATTGGCCTTGGTATCCCGGATGTAAGATCTTGAGCTGTACATTATTCACCTCTAACTATCTTATATCTATGGATAGATTGTTGAGTTGTCGGTAGACATCTAATTAAATTTTGAACATATCTAACGTATGTCCACAGAAAAGTTTCCTTTATATATTGGAATTCAAATTCTATTTTCACCTAGTTAAAATGCTTTCATCAGAAAGTATTTTAATAAGCTGGTACTATCATCCCATTTCCCATAAACATATTATCTAATAGAGAATATTTATAAAATGTTTCGTCAAAGTTTCATTGATTTTTATCGAAGTATTGCTCACTGTATGCTTACAGATAGTTTATGGCATAATTATATTTCTGAGAGGGTGATTTTATCCTCAAATTATTTTATATATGAAGAAATCAAAAGGGACCTTATTGTTAATGAAATTTAAGGATATTTTATTTAATTCGGAGATATTTCAGAAGGGGATGGTGGATTTTATAGTAATTTCAATGGTTAAGATCATGATTCAATTGAAGCTAGACAACCATAGAAAGCCTGGATGCACTGCACAGCCGTTTTGTCCCAGTGTAGGACTCCTCATTAGTGCGCATTCACTATCCCACCTCGCGAAATTCGAACCCAGCACCTATCAGTCTCGTGCGAGAACGCTTAACCTCTAGACCACTCAGCCGGTCGGGACCCAACGGTGTTAATGTCTAACTCCAACTAATTCACGAAATTGAGCGACACATCCACCATTGTCTTCAGTCATTTAATATCTCACAACAGACCTGGTTGAACTCCACTGGTCACGTTTCTCACCAGAACTCCAGAAGATAGCTCTTGAAGCCAGTCACTAGTGAGCATATGTTGATTAGTATGAGAAGGAGTTTTGTGAGTATTATAGTAATTTTATTAGTTGAGATCATGAGTGAATGGAAGCTAGACCACCATGGTGAACCTGGAATTACTGGACTGTCGTTTCGTCCTATTGCGTGACTCTTCAGCGGTGTGTATCCACGATCTTGCCTCGTGAGCTATTTTTGTGAATCATGAATTAACATCAACCGGAGAATTGTCGAAAAATAGTGGGAAATTGAACAACTGATTCTATTTAATTTTTTGCAATATTTAAAAATCAGCACTACACAACTTAGGATTGTAAAATAATCCTGTTTACCAAAATATTCGAAGACTATAGAGCTTAGGTCTTGTTTAAAACTGTTAAATGCAAACTATCAAAGAGTCATTAAGGAACCATACTTAAACAGCTGTCCAATTTCGATTCTTCAGATAATATTAGTATTTGATGAAAATTGTTTTCATTGTCAAACAAAACGTCTACAAACCACCTTAGTGAAGAATAATGATAACATATTTTTAGAAGGTTGGATATAGAATCTGTTTATTTTGATTAAATTAAACATCATCAGTTGTGAATACGTGTTATACTATGTAAACGGAACCCTGATTTATATGTAGCCTACTTGAATAGTGTTTAGTAATGGGTAATGCAAGTGAACTTTTACTCTTTTATTTATATATTGCGAAAATCTTATTTCGTGAAAAACTGTCAATTAATCTATCTTAATATTTTTTCACTATAACTAGCGATGGGATTCAGTACACGCTTTTCATAGTGTTTTGGACTCTTCAGCTGAATACACTTGTATCTCCTATTGCACTATGACTTGAAACTTATAACTAAAGAGTGCATAGAGACAGTTCATTGAATTTGCACATGTACCGATAGAGACCAATCAGCCATATCTCTTAATAACAACAGCAAGATAATTTAAACGATTGCAAAGAATCTATTTTAAATCAATTTAAGTTGATTAAAAGAAGTAATTGACAATAAATCTAATAAACTATAAATAATTTGCAGCTATAGTTAACTAAAGGGGAGAAGAAATATGGAGTACAGTTATGAAACTAGCAAGCAAATTAAACCTTTCGACTCTACACAACCTTAAAATCAGTGAGTATTTTGCCGGGTAACTGGTAATTGAGTAGTAATCAATTTTACATTGTATTGCTATCAATACTAATCAAATTTTACTGACTATGTTACTATGTAGCTACCAATTTAAATGGCAAAACATTGCTAGGGACTTTGGTTGATAACAAATGGTTGGAAGAAATCTGCAGAAACAGACAGATTTAGATTTCATACTGGTTAGCATTTATTAGTTACGGGTACCCATGATCTTGATGACACTGATGCTCCTTATTGGTTTCAAACCTGATTCATTCTCTTTCACATTCAGTGAAGTTAACTATTGCAGCTGTAACTGGTTTTCTGTGTGACT